AACATTATGACGTTGGCGTTTCGCGTTGTAACTCTTATGCTGATGGTTTTAAATCTCGGGGCGCATATTTTTGGTATTCATTCCATTTCCTCAACGACGCGGGCAAAAAGGAGTTCTTACTCTCAAAAAAAAATTCACCTCATTATCAGAGAATCGCTCTGTAAATTATTTAAAACCCCAATTTATGTGAATTTAATATCCACTTTTGCACCTGAATTCAACAAAATATTCACGCACTTGAATTTCTCGGTTAATAATCTACTGAAATGAAAGTACAACAAATTCTGAGGAGCAATTTCCATCAAAGTTGTCAACGCGTTATGATTTCCCATTGTCGCATTTCCCCAATAGTAATTGAGTGTCGGAGAGTTGAACTGTAACTTCTAATGGCAAAATGGAATTTCCCGAAATTCACAAAACGAAACATTTCTCCCCTCAAAGTGTTTTTGTTAATAATTTCCGAATACTTTTAGCAACAAATTAAAGTATCAAAACTGCATGGCATCCTCACCGAGAACAACGATTCAACAACCGTCTGTATCACCAGAATAGTGACTCTAGTCAACATTTTAATACTTAACACTCACCCCCCGATGCACATCACGTACAAAGAAGCTCATTCTCCTGGAGTTCCTTCCTTTCACCTCAACGTTGCAAATGTAACAACTCCAAGTGCACCTTCTCTTATATTGCAGCCTCCATGACAATGAATTCCAAGGACACTGGAAAGAGAAAAGAGGATGTTTATCACGATGAAACCAAATGGACATTGAACTACTTGTCGTTACGTTGAAGATTTGATTCCCTCTACTCAGAGCAGAAGATATTTTTATTAACGTCAATCGGAGCAGAAATCAAAATTTGGCCTCTTGAGGCAATTCTTGTAAATAAAAAAAATATTAAAAAAAAAATAATAATATTTATTCTCTTTATTTCCTTGATGTTAGAAAGATTTTTTTTTATATCCGCCTAGCCTCCTCCTCCTCCCATACGCAACATAATTATTATATAATTAAAAAATAAATATTCCCAAATGGATTGCAATTTCTTGGAAATTTTCGGGAAGATTTCGCGAGAATGTCAAATATTCCTAAGATTTCTACCCGAAATTTCGACGGAATGTTTTTAACAATGTACATGAGTGCATGGTCTTGCATATGTTGGGTGCTTCCTGAATTCGTACAGTAGTGTTTCTGGAAGCACATGATCCCCGGAACGTGCATGTGCACTTCCAGTAGCGAGCAATTGTTAGAGAATATACTTGAAACGAGAAGTGAAGAACACACGGGAATTTACAAGTAAAACATGCTCATTCTTGAGCTTAGGTGGAATCTCTTTGTGCCCCGGAGGAAATTGACTCGGTAAATTCATTATTCCCGGGGAGATCACTTTTTCAGAGACTACGGAACCTCGGTTATGGTAATAGCGAAAATTTCATCATTGTCGCTCATTTTTTTACAACATTATTATTTATAAAGATGTTCATAATTTTTTTGCTGCCGAAGAATAAAAATTTTGAAACGGGCACCGGAAATTGCGGGCGAAAATTGAATGGATAAATTTTGAATTTATATAATTTCTAGACAAATAGCATTTAAGAGAAAATCAATAATTCATGAAGAGTAATTAATTAATCACTATAACCAAACGAATCGACTCATCAATATTGATACTAATCAATGAATTATTACGATTATTCATCCCTACATGAATAATAATCACCATTGATATTTTCTACCTGGATTTCTCTAATTTTAGAATTTCAATAAATTTTCCAAAGATTTGTCCCTCATTTTCTGAACTTCCAGATTTTTCGTTATGTATAAAATTTTGATAATTCATCTAAATTAATTAATTCTCAATCCAATATATATATAGCAGCTACCACCCCCGATGAATTTATCATAAATAAATGCCAGGAACCGTGGGTAATTAATCCACCGCAATCGGACTATATTCCATTGAATTGGCGGTAATTGGCATATTTGGAAATAGCACTTGATATTTTCGAGATTTTTATAATTCACCAGTCAGGTGCGCGGTATGATTATTATTTCTGATCAGGGATTCACCAGCATCGAAAAATATGATAAACTCTCGGCAGTGGAGTTTACTGAATTAAATATCATGCGGTAATACCAGAACCACATGGGTTCACTGTTGGATGCACATTTAGGTATTATCCCGTGGGAATCTGGCTCCGCCGTCCGGCTCCCATTTGCGTATGTAACAATGTTTGTCATCGTAAAAGGCAACATTGTAATACGTAAATAACAATTAAGCCGTTTTATTTTTCACTTGGAGGTACGTACGGAAAACCAACAGCTGTGGAAATATTTGAAGGCCAATGAGGCCATTGGAGAAAAATTTCCGCGAATATAATTGCCAGACAATTTACGTAATCGGAGATGATCGTTTTTCTTTCATCAATTTTTGTGGATTAGAGTGCAACTTATACCGAACACATAATAGTGGAAATTTCGGGGCAGATCGCGTTGGCAATTATTAATTTTTTTACCTTCACCGTGGAGTTAGTGAGTCAATCCCCCAAAAATTCGGAATTAAACCCCTGGACCGATGGGGATTTTTTTTTTTCATTTTGATATTTTATGGTTTCTGACAGATTTATTGTCATCCCCGAACAGATATATTTCCGCTGCCTGCATCTTTCATTTATCACATTTTTGATATTTTGCATTCCTAAATCTCATTTCTTATTCAAGTATTTGCATATTTCTTCTCTGCATTTATAGCCAGTCGCATCTGCAATTTTTTTGGGCGACGCGTGTTTTAGACAGTTGGTTTTGATTTCTTCATCAATTAATTATAATTTTTCGTGCCACAAGAACTGCTCGGAGCGTCAATAATTTGAACTCTTTCCGAAGAGCTTGCGAGGCGTTAGTAATTGACGAAAACTTCGACAAGAACACAGCAGTCAGTAAACCTCTGTAATATATTAATGAGGCACCGAGCTAAAATGATCTCCATCTCATGAAAACTTCCGGTAAATCCAATCCCCCAAATCAATGCATTCCTGATGCATAGCCCTCGACGTCCCGTGAAAATCCATATTAAACCACATTAATTATTTCCATCCCTTTCCCGAAGAAATGATACGATCCTCTTCCACGAGGAGAAGTAGCACTATGCATATTTCATTTTTAATTCCGGAAATAATCCCGTCGGGGTATTGTGTTTCGCTTTTTCCGGGGTACGTGATTGGTACAAGGCGCTACCGGTCGTGAGGAGTACACGAAAATGGAGGTGGGGAATGGGGGATTGGATACTCCGTGGGGATTGTACGGAAAAAAAAAAGAGAAAACCAAGAAACGATGCCAAAGTTTCGGGGGTTTTTCCCCCAATTCTATCTGCAACGTTTTGCCATCCCTATATCTGCACGCGACGACATTCTCGCTTTGCCTTTCGACGTATAACGACGGGGAACGACGTGACGCCGTCAGACAGGCCCCCAGAAAACATTTCCAGGGGTATTCTCATGTGTATTGCAAACTCCTCTTATTTTATATCATTGTTTTTTTTTTTCAACTTCCACAGTATCTGAAAAACGTCGATCTCCAGGGAAATATTTTCCAGATATTTGAAGAACACGGTTGTTACGGAAAATGGGTAAAAGATAGCGTATGGAATTATTATATCCTTTTCCTCCCTGTCATTTGGCTTTTCGATTTCGGGGGGATAATCGAGGGGGAATAAATGTCATGTCGTGCCGGTTATTTCCGAGGTTTAGGCATTTTTAAGAGGAAAAAAAATTAACTGCACTTCAACTAGCGTAATTCAGGCAGATGCATGATTTTTGAATGAAAAATTTATTGAACGCCAATTTTTAGTCTTTTATTTTTTTTTCGTGATATTTGCGTGAGTGTATTTGTTTCTCGGTAATGAATGTCGTTGGTATAATTAAATTTTTCATTCCTTTGCCGTAAGTTCGATCGATAAATGAAGTCAAGAAAGAGGAACGTCCAGGAGACACCCTCGGGAGACTCCTGAGCAAAGTCATTTTCGTTTCTCCCGGAGTTTTCCTCCTGCGAATAACCGGAAATTGTGCGGGGACTTTATTCAGTGGGAAAGCGTTCTCCACCTCCATCGCATTTCAGAGAAGCTGAGAAATAATGGAAAAAAAGGAATCTTTTGACCGGGGCAAAAACGGATTTTAATTTCTTGGTGAGGACCACTCGGAAATGCACACCACCCACTCAGTCTAATTATCCTGGCGTGAATGAGTCATTATAAAATGATATAGCGTCTGAGAGAAGAAGAAAAATTGCCCAGAAATTTATTGGTGGAGAAAAAAATTTTCCTGAGGTATTTCAATCTGTCGTCAGATTGTTTTCACAACTCCACTTTCTTCATTTTTCAACGAGTTCGTTCTCCCAACCGGAATTTCCAGATTGATTTCTCTCCCTTTTTCAATTATTTCTGGAGCATACGCGAAAAGAACGAGGAGCATTCGTGTCTGGAGCTATTTTTGCATGCAAACGAGACGTCGTTTGACCCTTTACCGTGATCCAAGCTCATATTTACCGTTCAAACATTCGAGGCCAGAGCTTTCTATCCAGAGTGCTGACATCTTCGGCTGAATGGCTGAACGCTATCAACTCTTATTCCCCTTAAAAATTAATATCACCCGAATGCATGACTGAATGTATTAAAAATTCACGCCTTCATTGAAAATCCAATTATCATTCAACACGAAAAATTAAATTCTCTTGGATTTCAACATAAATGAGAAATTCATGGGTAATGTAAAAATCTTCCCCCATAATTCCTCCAAGAACAACGAAACCTTCAGGTTCCCTCAAAACCCCTTGGGATCAAAAAAAGAAAGCAACGAGTGAAAAATTCACGATTCCACGTTATGCTTTAGTCGCTGTCGGGACATGAAAATAGCAGCGGACAAACAGGGCAGTAGTGGAGGAAAGGGGAGCATCTAATAATAAAGACTGAAAAAGCCACGACCGTCGTGAGTTCACCGAAGTCCGTTCGTAGGTTCTCCGTTGTCCGCAAACTGCTATTATAAAAAATAAATGACCGTGAGTACTCATGCCGATAATTACTCACCGAAAAAAAAATTCCGGTATTAATCACCCCGATGAGGGGATCAGGCGGCGATAGTGAGAAAAATTCTAAATAAAGAAGCACCAAGGATTGGACGTGGTAATCGTCAAGTGGTAGGGGATGTGCAGTGCGAGTAATAAAGAAAAAAATCCAAGAATTCATCACAAGTGAGAAGGAAGGAACAAAGTATGGTTGAGCTTAACGATTGCAGTGGCGAGGAGTGCAGTTTATCCTCGGCTCGCTCCGGTGCAAGTCCCCGTTTTTCAATATTCAAGTGGTTCAAACGTTGGCCAAAGCCCCAGGACAATCCTATCACCAGCATAAATAACGGGGAGGAGAGTGTGTTTTCAAGCAGTGACAGCATTGATACGTTCTACAGTACAGCGACAGTCCGGAGTTTTGCATTCCAGGCGAGTCCCCCAGGTGCTCCAATCCACCAGATTGACATAAAAAGCCAAGACCCCACGAAAGTTGGCCCATTTGGTGACGGTGCCGTTCGAATAATCGAGAAAGATGCCAGCAAGTTGACACTGAATGTCGCCACAACATTACCCGCCAATGTTCTGCGCAGGCGAGACATCACTGCCCGTTATTCCCTACAGACCTGCACAGGTGCATTTGGCTCCTGCGGTAATATCAGTCACCAGAGGACGAGTATCAAAAGAGGTGAGGAACGTGGAAACGTCAGGCGAGTCCACGTGAGGGGAAAACGACGTGCACCAAATCCACCGGGTAGGCCCAGAAGTCTTTGTGAGGTTCAGGGTTCTGGAATCCTGGGGGCTGGAAAGCGGAAGCGACGACCAGCACCCAAACCACCGGTGCATTTGGTGAAAAAACGAGATATTGGAATGGATGGTGAGAGGAGTCAGGGGACTGGTCAGAGTATCTTTGGTGAGGGCGAGGGGAGCAGGGGCTCTGACTGTGGTGCTGAGAGCAAAATCATCGAGGGAAAGGTCAGGTCGAGTGATCAAGAGATTCCGAGTGTCAGCACTGATACCCTTGTCCTTCGTGGTGGTGTTCTCCTGCCGAAGAAGCAAGTCTCCTCAGCTTCTGGCCAGGTTGTAGGTCAGAGCACCGCGATGCCCCGACCTTGGTACAAGAGGAATGTCTTTGAGTACTCGAGTGTAAACAAAGAGTGTTCTAATAATGTCGCGGTAGTAGCTGCTGTGGATTCCTCCAAGGGCAATGAGGAGGGCTCCATCAGGCACTTTTTCACTCGCTCTGACAGGACCAAGGAGAGAAAGAGGGACATCAAGAGGCAATCTGGTCTCTCCATTCTCACCAACATCAGTGAACTCGATAAGGAGGCAGCTGCTATTGTCCAGGAGGAACAGGCTAAATCACGAGCTGCTATGCTACTGGAGGCATCACGCCTCGGTGAAATCGAGAGGAGAATCGATGGTAATGAGGGTGTTGTTCAGGACATGGTAACTTCCGTTATGGAGAATTCACCCAGGAGGGGCACCCGCGCTCTCATCTCCAAGTTCAATGCCATTGGGAATATTACCAGAGTCACGGTGAACACGAGTTTCTTTGCTAAGCGTGATGGGAATAAGGCAGATCCCGGGGAAGATTGGAGGAGACGTAGGATCTCGGAGGGATCAGGAGGAGACAAGGATCTCAGCAAATACTTCCGAAGTCATCGGGAGGGTGGAGCGGCAGAAAAAAGCAGCCCGAAATTTGGTAGAGACACAAGAAGAGCCCTCAATGCCGAGAGAACGGCTTTTTTCACATCACACCTGGGGGAAGGTCAAAGGACTACCACTACATCCACCACCACCACCACCACCACCACCACCAGGGATAGCCTCAAATCTGGGTAAAGTCGATTAAATTTTTTCATGTTAATTATTCCATGTGCTAATGAATTATTATTGTAATCGAAGAGAAGGGGTTTATCTTTTGCAGGAAGAGCTGCCCAGTAATGGATGTTAGCAATCGTCTCTCAGCCCTCCAGGATATCATTAAAAAGCATTCATCCCCGATATCCCCCCGATCTTCAACTAGCAGCATTGGAACTCCCCGAGACGATGAAAATAGTAGTGGAAGTTTTTCAAATTCTCCAAAACTCGATGGTAGCGGAGTTACCGAACATCGAGATACACGTACGGAAAAGTTTGACGAAGTGAAAACTAGTGCTGAAGTTATTCAACGCGAGTTTTCCCAGATATTCGAGGAGATCGACAGGCAATTGAGTACGAGTAAGTTGAAGCTTGAACAACGACGATTGGTGGATGGTAGAAATTTCAAGAATAGTGATTCGTCTAACCAGGTGAGCAAGGTGTTGGATATTCTCGTGGAGGCTGAGAATCTCAGGAAGAGTGAGAGACAGGAGAGGAAGGATAAGTTCGAAAGAACAATCGCTACTTCAGAGGACAAAGTTGTCGATCTCAAGGAAATGCTGAAGGAGATGAAGCATTCACTCCCCAAACGTCCGAAGCCGAAGAGAACGGAGGAATTGAAGGCAATTCCATCGACTTCCAGGCTCCTGGAGCCAGTCAAAGTGATGGCACCGCCTGTCCTCCAAATGGCACCAAAATCACCAAAAATCGAGAGGCAAAAGGTCTCCTTTGGGGTGCAAACCAGCGGAAACCTCCGAAGAGTTGATACCCCCAGGAGAGAAGTGGAAAAGAGGCCCTCTGGATTAAATGGGAAGACATTTCATCTCATGAGACCCAGAGAATTTGCTGCCATCGAGGCCATCATGACTATGAACAACAATCAGGAGGAAAACACGTACGCTAATGTCGTCGAACAATCCATTTATGCCAATGCCATGGTTTTACCCTCTCGTACCCACCAGGAGGTAGGTCCTCACAGGAAGACGAGATCAACACCTCCACCTCATATACAATTGCTTGGATCCACCGGTAGGTTCACTATCCCCTATTTTCATTTTCATCTTAGCCTGGTGTTCTTTATTTTTTGCGCATTCGAATGATTACCAGCCTATTTATACGTATTTATGATTCAGACGAGAGACTCGTGTCTCTACCTATTCGACTGTTTTCGTTTCCCGTCGTGTTCTACTTGTCTCGAAATACTGTTTTTATTGGACGAGAAATGCCCTCAACGCCGAGGTAAAAACACAAAAAAAATATCTCGGAGGACTGCATTATTCATTATGCCCAGGAGCAAAGATGTTCCTCGCATTTTTTTTACGCATTCTGGGAAGTCGTTTTTCATGAATTAATTGTCGAGATTTTTTATCTTGAAAAATTAAAAATATTCTTCTAGCTCCTTCAATTGCTTAATTGGACTTGACCAAAAAAAAAATACGAGAATTATGCATTCTACCGGTTTTTGTTGAAAAAATGGCGTCTGTAGAAAACAATACCTTTATCTCGAAAGCGTCCATTGGAAGTCCTCAGTCCACAAACACATCACGATCACTTTCACTTCACAATCACTTTCACTTCACAATCAGTCACCGATATCACCACCGCACTAATGATTTAAAATATTTATTATTACAATAACTATCTGTTCTTCTCTGTAACAAAGCAACGCGTCACTCCCGGTTTGCCGCTCTTTGTAACGAACGCCGCGCGTAGCGCCCTCTACATGGACGCCACATTTCTCGATTCGTTATTCGTTTGTTTTACATTAAATATTCATGAACAAAGAAGTTTATAATTTTTTATGCATTCTCGGATGTCATTTTTAATAAATTAATTGGATTTTGTTGAAAAAATACGGTTTTTGTTGAAAAAATACAGTTTTTGTTGAAAAAAAACGATTTTTGTTGAAAAAAACGGTTTTTGTTGAAAAAAAATTGCGTACGTAGAAAAGAAGGCCTCCCCGAAGACCGCCATTTGTAATATCACTCTCACTTCACAAACACTTACCGCTGTTACTACTACACTAACGTTTTTCAAATATATTTATTATTATAATAACTATTTGTTCATCTGCAATGAAAAAAACACTCCCGGCGTCTCACTCGGCCCAACCGTCTTTGTTGTCGAACTTCAACTGACGCCCAGCGTGGCGTCCTCTATATCGACACGAAATCTCCCCATTCGTTCTTCGATTATTACATCGAACGCACGCCGGCTATTATATTCGTTGTAATCTCACTCTCGTTAACAATACCGCACACTAGTAATTGATTTTAGTTCACTCACCTGAAGCAGGACTCGATAACATCGATTTAGTATTTTTTAAATCGTGTACAAACGCGTACGAATTTTTATTCTCGAGAGAAAACACTGAAATATTCTCGCAATGGATGACAATATGAATCCTTTGGCAGCCGATCGACTACTGATACAACTGGAAGAAGCTGTTGCCTCGAAAAATCATCTACAAACTACGGGATTCGCCAAGGAATTGACTAAATTGGAAATGCCCTGCCCGGATGTTTTCAATGTTAATATGTTTATAGAAGATAGACTGGCACAGCAGGGGCCGATTCCACTACAAGTACGTGAAATTCAAATTAATAATTATTTATTCTTTCTTTACTTTTGGTTATCCTTAGCTGAATAAATTCGCGATTCAGTAATCGTGCAGATCGTCCTCTGTTTCTCACATTGCTAACGCTTCCGACTACAGCTGAATTATTATTATATTAAATTGAGAGAACCACAAATAAATTTTTCTTCATTTCACAGAGAACGGGATTGAATTATTAAATTTACAAAATTATTGCACTTCCATTCTTGTAGCTTCCCGTCACAATGCGTATCGGAGAACTGAAAGACAAGATTTCCCAGGAATTCGAAATTCCTCCAAATCTCCAGCGCTGGATAATCGCCAAGAAATCAGCGGACGACGATAACTCCACACTTCAGGAGCTCGACGCTAAGGAGGGGCTGCCTATTTTCCTGTACCTCGCTGCACCAGGTGGGCTTCCAGCATATCTGCGTGGATTATTGAATTCTCCTTTACAAACATTAGAAATATAATGATCATGACTCGTAAGTGAACGATAATTAATTTTTAGTATTACAGATCGATAATGAGACGGTGCCTGCTGTAGTTGCTCTTGAGGATGACAAAATAAAAGAAATTCAAGAGGAAGTTGATATGCCTATTGTAGAGGAATCATCTGACGATGAAGAGGCCCACGTGATTCCTGAGATTGTTACGATGGATAATCTAGCAATCCCAGGAACTTCAAAAATTCATGTACGAATCAATTTTTTTCAAATATTTCCAGCTTTTACAATTTCGTTATTATATAATTATCCCATCTTGCTTTAAATTCTCTGGTGATCATTCTTCTTAGGATGAGCCTGTCGAAGACGACAATGACGTGGAAAAGCAAGAGGAGAAAATTGCTGCCATTGAAATTGAACCTGGGAATGAAAAAACAGAGGCGAAAGGGGAAATAATTCTATCCCATACTGATACCGATTGCAATGGAGAAGGTGCAGTTGGAATAATAGAGAGTGCCAAAATGGAATACAGTGAGTTAATGATGCTGGAGAAATGTGGCTTGGTGCCAAACATTAATACGATCGAGTGCCCAATTTGCTTCATTACTTACGGGCCACTGGAAGGTGTTGTTCTTCGAGATTGTCTGCATACGTTCTGCAGGTAATTAAAATTGTATTGAGTTAATTGTCAAATGAATATTATTATCATCGTCGCAGTTCATCAAAATCTCAATGAACTTCAATAAAAAATGAGAGGAAATTGGATAAATAACTCAATAACAATATTATCTCTTCAAATTGCTCTTGAATTTTCATTAATCACTCGTTGTGTAGAGCCTGTATAGAGAACACGATAAAGCACTGCACGGAGGCAGAGATCAAGTGTCCATATATAGACTTCGAATATACGTGCGAGTCAACACTGCAGGAACGAGAGATAAAGGCTGTGAGTATTTTGTGTCTCGTTTAATGTGCTTTATTATAATCCATTATTCTATTATAATTTATTTTGAATTTATGTGGTTAAAGCTGGTTTCATTAGATGTGTACGAACAACATCTAGCCAAGTCAATTTCCCAAGCTGAAAATAATGCTGGGCACAATGCATTCCATTGTAAGACACCCGATTGTCCTGGATGGTGTATAATTGATGACGACGTCAACAATTTTCTGTGTCCTGTTTGTGATTCGACCAATTGCCTCACGTGCAGAGTGAGTGAATTCTCCTGAAAATTATCAATTGTTGAATCATCCATCATGTTTTTTTAGGTGATTCACAATGGGAAGAACTGCTGGGAGTACCAGGAGGACGTGAGACTCTTTACAGACACTGACGAAGGGGCAAGAAGAACAGCCGAAATGTTGAGAGACATGTTAGACAGTGGAGAAGCAATGACCTGTCCAACGTGTGCAGTGGTTATCATGAAAAAATGGGGATGTGATTGGATTCGTTGTTCAGTGTGTAAGACCGAAATATGTTGGGTGACAAGAGGTCCAAGATGGGGACCTGGTGGTAAGGGCGATACCTCTGGAGGCTGTAGATGTAATCCGGCAGGAAAGTGCCATCCTCGTTGCAACTACTGTCATTAACATTGAACACTTACTTTATCAATAATTACCGCTTAAGAATTACCATGGGTTTTAAAATATTACGAGTTATAAAAATTCAGCATTAGGCAGTAAACGTTATATTTCATCTATGGATAAATATGTTTGTAATGCTTTAAGAGGAATGTGAGGAGTGGATTCATTCTCTCCCAAATAAAAGATAATAATTTTGTCACATTGGTTTATTAATTTCTTATTCCTAGAGTACGATAAATTAAATTCAAGTTTCTGGCAAAGGATCCTTTGTCTCCCCTTTACCAATCTGTCCCAGACGTGTGACAAGTGTCTCTTGATGATGTGTCAGTTGTCTGCACAGATTAGCACCAGCTGCTGACTGCAGCGTTTGTACCAATTGCGTTCTGGCTGACGTTATATCCATACTGCCGTACTTCAGAAAATCGTTAACGTTCAGCAATCTACCATCTAGGATACCAGCTGCAAAAATAAGTCCTCGAATTGATTTATTTTATTCTCCACTCTATTCCAGCTTGTACAATAATTACATTGACTCACCCATTAGTATATATTGGGGCCATTGCTTGATGCATTTCCTCAATTTTTCAACATTTGGTTCGGGACCGAAGATGATAACACCACGGGAACAGAATAATGGGAGAACAGCTTCATATGGCGTTCCCGTGAGAGCAAATGTGGATATCTTTTCCTCCCAATACTTCAGACACATGTTCTCCCGTTTCAAGGCAATTCGGAGGTCCAACTCATCCTCAGCCTTTATGGAATTCTTGTGAAGAAATGCAATCATTCTAGAGTTGTTGTACCAGTTCAAGCACTCCTTCGCCAGAATCATCTCGTAGGGATGGGGCTCCGCAATTTTTTTCTGTGCCTTCTTGACATTTCCACACAATTCCCAGAGTGGGGCTCGCTCGCGTGGTGCAGGCCAAAACGGTGTGACGAACTCATTGAAAACACCTCTCGTGTAAAAAGGCTTTCTGGGCTTCTGAATGTTGATTTTACTCTTGTATCGTCGTTGTTCGATAACCAGAGACCGCTGGACGCAGCGAAATACTGAAAATTAAAAAAAAAGAAAAACATTTAAAACCAAGTCAGGAATGCAAAGTATTGCTCTGATAAAATTCCAATTGCCTGTTTTATTCTCTGGATTCTCCACTCTCGTTTCCACCTGAATATTCCATATTTTTTTCAAAACAATAATTGAAAAAAAAAACGAAACAATTGAAGAACTCGTCAGTTGCATCGTGCAAAGAAAAAAATCATTTATTGTTTGCAAAATAGATTACATGATTCGATTCAAGTACCGATATAAAAAAAATAGAATAATATGTACACAGAAAAAAAAAATCAATGACCTCCCGACCATCGTCACCTCATCCTGTTTTTTCATAAGGCACTTTGGAACATTCAACATGAAACTGATATTTCTCAATAAAAAAATTAATCGTGCAAGTTTTACAATTGTATACCTAACTCCTACATAAGTACATGATTAATCAGGAAAAAAAATGGAATAGTCTCGCCACGTACTGCCAACGATTCTCAAAAATAACTGTTATAAAATCATTATGCAATGTAATTAATAGTTCCACTGCAGTAATTGCTAGTCTCATGCCTGCCCTCGATGTTATCCCCAAAATTCAGGGACTTTCTATTCTTCCCGAGCCTCAGCATGGACCTAATGCCTCCCTTTTTTCTGGACCTCTTGTATCTCTCATCAAGAGCTGAATTGAGTGAAGCTTGCTTGACATCCCCTCGACTATTGGAGAATCCCTCTCCCTCCTCCTTGAACTGCCCATTGGAGACATTGCCATGTCCCTCATCCACCAACCAGTGCTTCCTAGGCGATATGTACTTGCTATTGCATCCAGGAATGGTGTAAATATATTCGGCTTTGGCCTCTGAATTTTTCTCGAATCTCTCAAACTTCTTCCTAGCAGCCTCAAACGAGCTCTCACCCTTCTCCTCCCGCACCTCCCTCTCCTCCTCCTTTTTCTCCTGCCCCTCCTGACTCTCCTTCTCCCTGCCCTCCCTGATCTTTTTATTCCTCTTATAGGTGTCCGTGTTCTTAGCATCCAACGCAGCATGTCGTTTTTCAGACATGCTCTGCCTGCCCAAGGCATCCCTCGAGAATTTCGCTGAATTAAATTCCTCGAGTGACAACTGACTGTCATAATGACTATCCCGCTCGTCGCTCTTCTTCTCCTCTGGATTCTCACTGGACTCCTCCAGCAGCAGCTCCTGCTCCCCAATCGCCACCTTTTTCCCTTCGATCCACGTCTTATTAGTCGCCAAACAATAACTCTCATTCCTCAAACTATTCTTATTATATTGTTCAGTTAATCTATCGATAACTGGATTCCAGGGTGACGATGAAGATGGCAACATCCCCTCGTCGACAATTTCCTGATTCACTCCATTCTTATCTGATTTTCCCTCATCCAAAACATAAATACTGTTAGCAGTCTCAATTTTACCGATACCATCACAATTATCGTACGAGGGTGAGACTCTCCTCGCTATTGTCAATGTTATTACACCAGTGACTGAGCTGTTTGTATTGAGCATGGCACTCCTCAGTGTCTCCATAGCCTTTGAATTTGACAAACCAAGCAGAGATTTGCCATTGACATTGAGCAATTGATCGTTGGTACGTAGACGACCGTCTCTAGAAGCTGCCCCACCATTAAGTACTGATTTTATAAAAATACCAAGGTCCATACTCGAGTTGTCATCGGTGCTGCTGGTTTTACCCTTGACACTGACCCCAAGTCCAGCCTTCTCCGAATCGTGTACTGGTATATCCAGTGTCAGTATCATTCTATTTTTCCTAGGGGATAGGACGACATCGTCCAAAGGCACTTTAAAAGGCGTCGTTGGAGGTGACTCCTCCTTGGGCACTGCCTTCTTCGGCGAGAATCTCATCTCCTGGCATATTGGCTTATCGGGAGTGACCTCAGTTGTTTCTGTACTGGGTACATCCTCCTGTCTTGACACTGTAATCCTGACTTTTCCCCCTGGAGGGATGCTCCTCAGCAGGGAAACGACGTCATCCTGACTCTTGCCAGTCATCTCCACATTATTCACCTCAAGCAGTCGATCCCCAGGTCGCAGTCGTCCATCCTCAACCGCAGGCCCTCTTGGAAGAATATTTTTAATATAAATAGGACAATGACCACCCGCAGGATTATCCCTCGTGGTAACACTGAACCCCAGGGGCTCAGATCCCTTGGTCAACTCGATCTCAATGATTCTCCCAATTTTCCTCGTGTTGGCATTCTGCAGTAAATGATAAGTGCTACACTGAAGTCTCCTGCTATCCGCTGCCTCATCAGATTTATCAGGAAGCCCCTTGGGGCCCATTTTCTCCAAATTTTTTCTGCTCTTGACAACCGAAATTCTGAGACAGGGCTCTGTCATGCAGGATCGAAAGATCTCTTCGACTTTATTATACGGTATCCGAAGAAGACTGTGGCCGTTGATTTTTATGATCTTGTCGTGGAGATCGATCTGTCCATCCTTGCCAATTCTCCCATTGGGCTCGATGCCCTCGACCCTGAGCCCCTGGTCATCCCCAGAGAGGTCGTGACAGGGAAGCCAATGAATGCCCAGAGGACCAGCATCATTCTTAATGACAATCTCACGAATCTCGTCCCTCATCATCGACGAGGCCTCACTTTTATTGGAGAGCTCAAAAGCTGCCTTGGCATCCTGACCCAGGGGTTCTCGTCTCCTGGACTCCCTCGGCAACGATGACGCCGAATAAGTCGTCTGACTTGGTTCCCTGGTGGACGTGGCATGCATGGACAACCTCTTGCTCTCTCGTCTCATCCCCGATGACACTCGCCCATGAACGTCAACATGATGATGAAAGAAATCCGGACTATTAGTCCCCACTGAGCTAGCACCATCTCCACCCACGTGGGGCACCTCATTGCCACTGAAATGGGCGACAATCTGCTCCCGATCATCAGCAACATCGCACAGACGATCATCGGGATCGAGCAGTCCACCTCCAGTCAAGGATGACAATGACGTTATGGCAGGACCAGGATCTGTCCTACCAGTGGCCTTGCGATACCTCAATATCGCCTCGTGCATCAAATCACGCACCAAAAGGGTACCATCGCCACAAGGCACCACAACTCTCACTGAATCGAAACACACCGTCACCTTCATCTCACTAATATCATATTACAATAATTACGTTCTCTCGTCGTTTCGTCTCTCTGGGCAAATCCAGTGATCTTTGTCTCATCTAGATTGGAGTTCACTCCAGTGCGTCACGATTACCATGTAAGTAACTTGGCATGTTAGTCACGTTTAAATGATACATTTGGTACTCTTATTATTTCGTTACAACACGTACTCGTCATTCACTGCGCACCTCATACCGTTTTCCATGGATTCCTGATGTTTTTCCAAGGAGATTTTTTTTGCAACTCCCGGTTGGAATAGTGGAATCACGAGGGGAATGCAACTCGGTGGGTTCTACGTACGAATACGCCCAGTTTTCAGGTGATTACAGGGATTTTTTTTTATGTTTTATCGGAGTTAAGCAAATACACGAGATAGACGCACACGCCATTACGAGTGTTTCTGTTCGAGGATCGTTCCTCGGGGGAGGGGTCGTCGAGAATGCGGCATTAGGTCGAAATTGGAGAGGTTAGTTCATGGTTATTAGGAATTTTTCCAGTGATTCGACAGGTTATTAAGGGAGTTTTACCTTTTGTTGTGATTAGAGACATTTTTCCCCTCTTTCGCTCTTTTTTTATGTTGTCTAGGCTGGTGGCAATGATTTTTCCGCCTCCTAGACTCGCTGCGTCCTTGTTTACCGACACTGAAACACGATTGGTTCGTTTCCGATTATGTTTCCATGATTTCACATAATGGAATTTTCAGAAACGACTCTTCAATACGCACGCGTGGGAGTTTTGGTGGGAAATTCACTGATCTTTAATTATTCTGTTTGAATTTTTTTTTCGTTCTGTTATTTTTTATAAATATAGTGTAGGATAAAGTTAAATAGATATTCGTATATTAAATCGAGCTCAAGGCATTTTTCATCCATTTGTAAAAAATTTATTTTGGGTAAAAAATATAAATTCTTCCGAGTTCTGAGTCTGGAAAATTTATTTGTTGCCTCTGAGGTATTGATATACAGAGCTGAAGTCTTTGTCACCGAATCCATGGAGCATGATAGTTCTGTACACTTGTTGAGCAACAGAACCTAAAGGCGTAAGTGCATTACTCCGGGTCGCAGCTGCTTGAGCGAGGCCGAGATCTTTGCTTATCAATGAGGTCGTGAAACCCCCCTGGAATATTCCCATTTAATAATTAATTCCTAAGTATTTCAATTTAAAATGATAAATATTGATAATATTATAAATATTGAAAATTTTTGGATAACTTTCGAAAGGATTAAATATCATTTCGACCAGAAAACGAAAGGTTTCTCTATGAAATTTTTTCACGCGTGGAATACCTTGTAATCGTTGGAGCTTGGAACAGAGTCGATTATTCCAGGTACTGGAGGATTTATTTCAGATGACCAGCAGCGACCAGTGCTCGTGTTAATAATGCTGTTCATCACTTTAGGATCTAGTCCTAATCTGGAAAATCGATGAAATTCAATATCCCACTTGTTTACTATAAAAATTGGTAATTAAAAATTTCCGGTGTGATTAATGAGACTTGCCGATCGGCGAGATTGACAGCTTCAGCCACACCGATCATGCTGATAGCTAGTAACATGTTGTTGCATAATTTAGCGACCTGGCCCATGCCAACATCACCACAATGGACTACTCGTGAGCCCATGGCTTCCAGAATGGGCTTAGCTCGTTCACACTCTTGTTTTCCACCGCCTACCATAAATGTCAAGGTAGCATCACGTGCCCCTACCACTCCTACAATTCAGCAAAATCATCTAGTCATCAATTAAAAAAAAGCTCAGCTCGAGGAAGAGTCCGTGCAATTTGACAGATACAATTTACAAACACTCAAAAAATATTTCACAATTATCATTGGGATGGATTGTAGTGACTTTAATTTACCGCCTGATACTGGACCATCCAGGAACTTGGCTCCTTTCTTTAGCGTCTCTACAGAGAGTTTTTGGGAGACCAGTGGATCAATTGTACTGCTGTCAATCAATAAGGCATCCTTATTGACAGTGCTGTCCGAGAAAAATGCGAAAAAAAATTAATATTAATTGTCTCGGAGTAAATTTTTATCTTGGAAATTGTACCTCAGGAGACCATTTTTGCCAGTGTAACACTCCCACACGTGATCATTGGCAGGCAGCATTGTAATGACAATTTCGGAATTTTTGGCAACATCCGATACATTAGGAGCGGCCTTACCTCCCGCCTCAATGACATTCGTCATCGCGGATTTATTGATATCGAAAACGGTTAATTTGAATCCCTGCAATTGAAAGAGTTTTGAGAAAACAATAGATATGTCATTATTAATTTGGAATATTTACTTTTTTCAATATATTCATTGCCATACTATTTCCCATATTCCCGAGACCGATGAATCCCACGCTGGAGAAATTTCGTCGACCTAAAAACCAAAAATAACGTTGCGTAATGTACTGCACAGTGAATTTGGGACACGAAATAAATACAATTCCCTTTGAAATTTCCCATGCGATTCATGAATAAAAAAAAAAATAATATTCACTTTTGGCTGCGCAGCAAGACTTCCTCAAAGCCCCGAGAACGTTCATTGTTGCAATGACGAGTTGAAATGCCGTAAAACTTCACTCAGAGATAATGACCTCTTGAAACAGATGTAAATGAATGCACGCGAGTCGTTAACACCCAGAATAACTCCCCAAAGCTGGGTTCACTCGTAAAAATCAACGACCTAAATGAATTCTTCGAACATTCGCGGATACGATTGAATCAATGTCAATTTCTGGAATGATCGCAGCGCAAGTTGATGAAACACTGGAGACGAATGGCCTCAATTTATCGCTATTGAAAATCTTTTATTCAAAAGTATTACAACGACGTGCGTCAGGGCCGATGGAATTCAACTGATCGGTCTACTCAAAACACATTGTGAAACGATTGATAAGATAAGGAAGCAGGGGAAGGGATTGAGACATCATGAGGCCGATTATGAATTTTCATAATTGGAGAAATCGACGTTTATTCGTTTTTATGGTGCATTAGTCCTAACTGATGGGAAAATTTTATTGATTCACCGCTGATACGTTTCCCTTTAACGTATTTTTCCGCAGAAAAATCGATGTCCTCTGTTTCTAGTTTACAATTTCAAAATCTCTCATTCAATAATTTATTCATTTGGTTGAGAATTCATTAATCAGCTTAGAAATTTAATTTCTGTAGAAATTCAATAAAATTTGCTGGTGAAAGTGGTGGGTTTTTTAAAATGATATTTTCCATGCGTATTTTCCACTCGTTTGAAAGTAAACTAGTTCCCAATGATTGGACATGGAAAATTATTCCGCAGCTATTGAATCTGTCACAATTAATGATCGACTGCCATTCGCGAATCAATGGCGCCCGCAAAAATAGTTGGGCACATCAGACCTGACCCTAATGACCACACGAGTAATTTTCCCAACTGAAAGTATCACCTGATACCACACGTCAATTACCCGTCGTGTTGAATATTCCATCAATCATAACATTGAAAAAACGAAAGTGAAGAGAAGCAATTAATCTACATTACCACTGCCAACGACCATCAGTGTAGCCTTCGCGTTTATCCGCTGAATGAGCCGTTTTCTTATCACTACCACTTGGATCGGTGAAACGTAAAGTAATACATTTTTTTTTGCGCCATGCGAAATGGACATTCGCCCTGTCTATAATCGGCACGCAAATAATATCGATAAATACCGGTTAGTCATTAAGGATCTCTATAAAAATGTCACGTCACTCTGTCCTTGTTAAAAGCTTGAAATTTTTTACTTGAAAGTGTAATTTTGCAAGTGTTGTATAGAAATGGCATGAAAATGAATGATTGGAGGAAGATCCTTTCAGGAGATTTCCCATCTCTGGGACGTGATATGAAACGATGTTATTGATCGTTTGGTGTGAAGTTTAATGTCATGCAAAGGACGATGAGTCGGTCAGAGGGTTGATTATGTCCCTCGCGAGTACAGAGAGTTGAGAATAATGTGGAAATGCGCGGTGCTGGTGTACCTAGTGGCCAGTTTTGTTGGTGGAGACAGGAGTGATGTCTTGATTGATATCGAAGGATCGTCTTGGCTGCAGAATGAACACCTCGGCGAGATGATTGATCATTCCTTCGAGGGCTCCAGGTGTTGCAATGTCTTCGTCAAGGGTAATGGCACGGTAGTTCATTCTTAGTTGTTGCGATAAGATCAATTTGTTGTTGCAGGGGATAATCGTGCACTTTTCCGACAGTTCATCGAATTATATGGGCATGATTACACCCTGGGGGCAATCAATCGCAAGTGTTATGCGTATTTTTTACTCGCCAAAGATCCGGCGCACCTCATCGCCGGCATTGCAAAGTTGAGATGCTAACAATTTTTTTTATAAATTAATATGGCTATATTCATTACATCTCGTAATTTTCATAGAATTCCTACAATTATCGCATTGACCCAAATTCTCGTGATTGTCGATGCTGAAATTACGGAGAATTCTCGTCTATTCAATGTCTCATTTTATAAGAACGCGAACGTGAATATTATTTCGCGATCAGGCATGTGGAGCCTATCCGAGATGTTCCTCCGTCCCAGAATATTCAAAAATGTAGTCAGGTGAGAATCTGATAACAACGAATTCCCAGGGATACAGAACAAGAGTGTAATTATATTTGATTGACAGACCCTCAGATATGAGACACAGCCGGGGGATTGTTAACTTGGAAGGCCGGCAATTACAGGTCGCCACATTTTATGTCCCACCCCTGTCTTATCTATCAACCAGTGATAACAAAACGGTGGAACAAGTCGAGGGGGAATTTTTCTCATCAAATAATCGTAATTAATTTGCCTCATTAAATATTCAGAAAAAAAGTTAGATTTCAAATGAATTTTTTCCTACATAATATTTTATTTCTCCCAAGCACTGGAATGGGACGGGGTTGAGGTGAAATTATTTATGATGATGGCGAAGCGATTGAATTTTACGTGGATGATTCGAAAACCCAACGGGGGATATCGGTAAGGCAAATTAGTAAAAAATTATTAATAACGCAATAATAATGGTGCTTTCGCTTAATTCCTCAATATGAAGCCGACGTAGAATGAAATTTATTCATTCGTATTGGTAGATATGGGAGAGCCAGGAATTCCACGTGGGAGGGAGGAATGATAGGTCAATTATTCAGGAAAGAAGTGGATCTTGCGTTTGGGGGAATTTGGTTCATGCACGATCCGTACAGATATGTGAATTTATCAGTGCCCTGGTATCAAGTGTCGATTCACTTTCTGGTACCCCGACCCCAACCGATCACCAACTTCTGGGCCCTAACCAGACCAATTACCGTACATGTCTGGATTGCAGTGGTCACTACTGTCATTGTCCAGAGCCTCCATGTTTGGGTGAAGGCGTGGATCAACCCTAAAGTACCTTCAAGTAAACACCGACTAAAATAATTAAAATACGTTATATAATTCTTTAAAAAAATTCTGGTAGGATTCAGAAGTTTCGCCAATACCCTGACGGAATTGATCGGTCGACTGGTGGGCTTGTGGGCCCCTCAAAAAACCGATGGCCTCAGAGTTCAGCTACACCTCTGGCATTTCGCTGGACTTCTGATTGTCACAGCTTATTGCAGCAGTCTGGCTGCAAGACTCACCACTCCAGACTACGAGAACAGGTGGGACAGAAATCCTATCGAGCCACAAGATCTGATTGCTCTATTCTTTCAGAATCGACACACCTGACCAATTTCTGAAAACTAATCTGACGTGGGGGCGAGAGGGCCCAATCCCCAAGTTCGATGACTACTTCGAGGAGAAGGTGAGTGGGAAAATAACGTGCCACCTATCTGGCTATAATTCCCGGAATATTCTTCCAGTACCGTGAAAAAATGATGAGAAAATTCAAGAGTGAAAAATCGCTGGACGACAGGAAAGAAAAAATAGACCGAGGAAATTACGCCATCGTTGGAAGAATCATCAATTGCATTTTCTTTCCCGAGAATGACGTCAGCGCATCCGATCTTCGAGTAAATATGAGTGACACTCACACTACTCCAAAAAATATGAATTATTCCATTTTTAGGATTACAGAGTGATGAAAGAACCTTTCGGAAAATACTACCTCTCATTCGCGACTCAGCCCTGGCTTGTGTTGTCACTCAATAAAGTAATTATTAATTTATTCAATTGGAAAGCTTTCTACTGGAATTCTAGAGCCTTCTGAAAATCGTAGATGATGACAAGATTGATAGAGCACGGTTTCACCGCCTTCCACTTGAAAGATGTCATTCACAGAAGAACGAGTACAAGTCTCCGAGAAGTTCTGATTGAGCGCGATGGTGATAATTCAGATGGACCAGTTCCCTTGAAACTGAAACCCCTGGGGGCAGGGTTCATCGTCCTGTTCCTCGGTCTCACGACAGCAACAATCGTTTTCTACTTTGAAATCAGGAGAAAGGACAATGATAAATGGCCGTCCCGGCACCATCGGAGAAGGCCTGAACACAATTCAAAAAATTGGAATACTCGGAGAAGACCGCGGAACCCATGGTGATTTATTGAATCTACTTAATACGTATTTATCGTGAATGTAATGGAGTTAGTACACCGTGTCTTGGTTGATTAGGCCCATCTTAGTTCCAGATTGAATCCCGCAGCTGCACCGAAGACTGAAATATGGAGAAATGGACCGAACGTTTCAAGCGATTTCTTTCTCCTTCGTAATCGTAACTCAAACCAAATCATTTTTCTAGATGTACGCATCCATGAATAAATAAATTATTTAAAATACTCACACCATTGGTCTTTCATTAATTTCCCAATAAATCAATAAATATTATTTAATTCGTATGGGAACTCCATAAGATTGATTACAATCGCTCGGTGACAGGAGGGCTTGACCAAAAATGCAAGTATCATCTGGTAATTGGTTTCATATGAGTTCTTCGTATTTACATCATTACTATTTAATAGTGTGACGGTTCTGGAATGGCAGTCTGATAAGTCACTGATAATCGTTGAGGTGAATTTGGACGGACTGACTTTGTCATGATCCAAGAAAAAAGAGTGAAGTTCCAACGTCTGAGCTTGCACGGTACAAGTTAATTTTGGAGAGCAGAATTAAAACTTCATCAACAAATATCCTTCATCTCGATTTTAATCTGGATACTGTGATTTTTGTAGTTTGACGATGAAAATAATAAGTTTTATTGTTTATTGTCACTTGTGGAAGTATTTAATTATTCTCCAGCCTGTCGACAGTGTTGTGACCGGAGGGAGAGGATATATGAATATTAATAATAATCCTGGGTGGTGGGTGGGGGATGAAGATTTTAAAATGATAATGAAATATTCCTATCCATTTTCCACGTGCTGCAATTTTTTCGTCAATGGTACATTGAAGACGACACATTTATCAGAAATAATTAGAATTGTTATGACAATTCTTGGCTTTTATTTGATTTTTTTTTTCGTGCATGTAGGAACGACAGAGGGAATTGAAATTATGTTTAATCAATTCATCAACTTGTATCCGTTTGATTACACGATTGGAATGATTTTGTACGAATGCAAAGGGTATTTTATGCTGGCATCCGCTGAAGAAATACTGATTCAAGCTCTGAAATGGTGAATCTGAGGGCTGGATTTGAAAAATACTAGAATTACAATAATCTGAAATACTTTTCAATCCTCCAGGGTACCCACTGCTATTTCTACGACAGAAATTCTGATAATGGTCGATGGTCCCGTGTCAGATAATTCATCTCTCCTCAACATCAGTCTCTTCAAAAATTCTAACGTCAATATTGTTTCACGCTCAGGCAGCTGGAGCTTATCAGAAAATTTTCTGCTTCCTCGAAAATTCAAACGTGTTTACAGGTGCATTAAATTATTTTTTTTTTTTAGTAATTGATAAAAAATAATCACAATATTGCCACCACGAAAACCTGAACTGAATTTTCAGGCCCTCGGAGATGGTTCACAAAACCGGCATCGTCAACCTCGAGGGCCGTCAATTAATTGTGGGAACATTTTACCGCCCCCCATTCTCGTATTTATCAACATCTATCAACAAGACCGTAAATGGAGTGCAGGGCCAGTACTACCTGGCAAATAACGGTATATCATTTATTACTCCATTGCTGTTTTCATTTCTCTCTTCATATTGTTATCAATCCGTTTTTCTCCGCACAAGGCGAGATGGATGGAATTGAAGTGAAATTGTTCCTGATAATGGCTGAGCAACTCAACTTCACATGGATAATGAGAAAACCCGATGAGCCGCCGGGGTGAAAGAAATTTATTAATCCAGTAGAAATAGAGTTCCATTGATTTGAATTTTCATGAATTTTTGTTATTAGGTATTACGGATTTCCGACAAGGGTCGGGTGGAAAGGTGGACTGACCGGTTTGGTATTCAAGAAAGAAGTTGATTTAGCCTTCGGCGAGATATTCCTTGAAAAGACGCAAAATGATTTTGTGAATTTATCGACGCCGTGGTGGCAAGTATTAGGAACATTCCTAGTGCCTCGGCCAAAACCCATTGTGAATATGTGGGCCCTCCTGGAGCCTTTTTCACTAAGTCTTTGGTTCGCGGTTGTAGTGATTACTATTCTCATGAGCATTGCCCTGTGGAAACAGGCGTGGATCGACCCCAGAGTCCCTAAGAGTAATCATCCCATTGTCATTCCGAGTTAATTATAAAATAATAATTAAGTCCGAATAGGTCTGATAATTTTTATCCACGTCTTCTTCAAGGATTTAAGAGCTATATTAATGCAATTACGGAGTTGATGGGGCGTCTTGTGGGTTCATGGGCGCCAAGAAAAATAAAAGGACTCAGAGTTCAACTCCAGTTGTGGCATTTCGCTGGACTATTGTTGGTCACAGCTTACTCCAGTAGTCTAGCTGCAATATTGACAACCCCAGATTATGAACCAAGGTATTATAGCATTAAGCTTTCGGAAGGATACAGTATTTCTTAGGTTGTGCTTTCAGGATTGACACGGCTAAAAATTTCATCGAATCTAATCTGACCTGGGGCAGCTACGGTGCACCAAGAAACTTAAAATTTTTTTTCGACATGAATGTAAATCATAAATATAGATAGCGCGAGGAATGAGGCGAGAAAAAATTTATCAGCGAATATTTTTGTTCAGGATACGTATGCCAAGCAAATACCCAGAAAATTACGGTACGAAGCCAATGAACAGGAGAGAGGCCGCAATATTTTGAGTAAAAATTATGCCATTTACGGCAGAATTGGTCATAAAATTTTTTTCCCCGTTGCTCCTGTCAACGGCAGAGATCTCAATGTAAATAATTATTGAGGAATTATTGCTTTTCAACCAGCTCATGATAATTGATAATTTTTCAGAATTACAGATTAATGCGAGAACCGACTTCCAAGTTCTTTCTCTCGTTCATCACTCAACCGTGGCTTGTCAACTCCATTGATACTGTAATTAATTTTTCCTCCAACTTATAACAAATTTTTTTATTAAGGTAAATGCTAACAGCAATTAATTCTTCAAAACCTTCAGATGGTTTCGCGATTGATTGAGAGTGGCTTCGCGGAATATCACATTCGCGATATTATTCGTCGCCGGTTTACCACTGATTTTCGAAGTGTTTTCATCGAGCACGATGTGGAAAACAAGGACAAGCCACAGCCGTTGGAGCTTAAACCACTTGGGGTAGCTTTCATAGTACTTTTTATAGGGTACTTTGTGGCCACTGCAGTGTTCTTATTCGAGGTGAGAGCCAGAAAGAATGAGAAAGCAGTTGCCAAGGGAAAGGTGAATATTCAACGAAGGATAAACCAACGAGTGAGGAAGTTACAATTGAAATATTTCATTCGAAGATGCATTTTCCAGAGGTGAATGTAAACATTATTTTTAAAATCTCTTCAAGATTATTTTCAAGTGAATTATGTACTCAGTGAATGATGAATCAATTAATCATAGGGTGGCTAAACAATAAATCAGTTATTCTTTTACTTCTTAAGAGATTGGTTTGATATTTTCCTTCCCGCTTTCCTCCACTATTTATCAATTCATTCACAGGTTTTTTTTATAAAATATTTTGTTATATGAATTTGGTCTCAGTGTGGAGAACTGTCACAATAATTTAGGAAGGGACGAAGAGAACGTCAGAGGGGGCCCGACCGTTTTTTATTGCACTCCCTCCAGTCCAGTTGTGGAATTCTCCATGTGGTAGAATACCCCAGTCTACCTGTCGAGAGTCAAATAATCCGGTTGACTCTCTCCTCTACAGAGCAGTCTCTGCCTTACGCATGTTTGTATAAAACAAATGTGTACTTATTAAAAATACTTTTTGGTTTTTCAAAATGTGTTACTACCTGATTCAGTTTCAAAAGAAATAGGCATAGCTTCGGATACAGGCTATTACATTGTAGCCTTGAACGAGCGCTCAAGTGATCGGCCCCACAATTAGTTTTAATCATTTCCTCTGGTGTTTCACAGTAGGAGAAATATTTTGTGCTTCAGAATGCTCCGTAAACAATCCATCAATGACGGTATGTTTTTCCAGTTTTCTATTCGAAAATTGTGGAGTGCATAGAGTAGATTGTAATCGGAAAAAATCATCTGTTAATTAAATTCATGTGCACCAGATACGTTTGTGTGAAATAAGAATTTAAAATTGAGTATTCGGATTTTAGGTGACCATTTTAGGCAGTCAGTTGTCCTGGGGAGAGTATTTACCTGGTGGAAATAATATTTTTTCTTAATTTTTCAATATTCTCGAGTTTTTTTCTATTACAGCCCAATCAGCCACCGTTGACCTACATTTCTCGGAGCTAATCGACGATATCAGTGTCATCGATGAGACACATAGAGAATTTACGAAAGATGATTTGCCAGAGTGGTTCGATAAAAAATTATTCAAAGCGTAAGTTTCGATTTCATTGCCGAGATTGGCAAAATGGACTTATTTAAAATAATAGAATATCACAAAAATTTCTAGAGAGTTCTCAATTCATATAAAATTTGAAGGCGATAGGTTTTCCTTTGAATTGTTTCACACTGCTATCGCTGTTTTCAGACAATATTGAATTTAATATCGCACTTCTGGAACTGCGTAATAGACGCATATGCATGACTGTGCATTTTTTTAAATAGCGTATTCCAAAGCAATTGACATAGCCTTGACTTATTCCAGCGGCCAGGATTACTACTGCAGAAATTTATTGGGAAGTGGTATGAGTGCTATGTGTGGACTCCTCGCGGTATTAATTATCCCGTCTATTCTTCGAGTGAGATATAATAAAAAATTATTATTGTCTACTGTTGGCTGTGATTTGCGTGAAATGGAGTTGCAAAGATGTTTTTGTAGCCAATTAAATTTCAATATCAAATAATAATAGTTATTTAGATAAATTGTAATTGATCTGAAGTGAAAATTCTTCTCACTTCAGGAATCCGCTACTGAATTGCTTTTTGCAGGTATTAATATGGACGAAAAAAAGTGGAACTCCTTGTACAGCGTTCAGTAGGTACCTGGAAACTCTACTGCATACGTATTATCTATTCGCGTCTGACATTGACGATCCGAACTCCAGGTAGAGCATATCAAAACACAAAAATTCCACTATATCTTTTCTTTATGGTCATTCAAGATTTTCGTGAAGAGAGTTCTGATGATTTTTTGACTTCAGGTTTTGGAAATCGATAAATGAGATAAGGTACATGCACTCGACGAGTAGTCGAAAATCCAGGAATGCTGGAATCGGGGGGATTACACAGCGCGATATGGCCCTGACCCAATTTGGTTTTATGGGATATGCCCTGATTGCCCCTGAAAAATTAGCCCTGACAAATGAGAAACACGAGAGAGAAGGTCTCAACCATTTCTGGAGGATTGTTGGGCATGCCATTGGAATATCTGACCGGTGAGACAATTCATCTTACTGATAAAAAAATTTACTGAATAATTTCTCAATATTCAACGGATTATAGACTCAATATTTGTCGAAAAAATGAAGTGGAGACGACTGAACTCTGCAGAAGACTGAACAAGGAAGTATTTGGGCCACACATGAAAAATCGCCCCGTGAATTTTCCAGAAATGGCAGGTGCCATGCTAGACGGTATGTGGTGTGTCGATCCTGTCCTCAATTACGACTCTTTCATGAGTTTTTGGTACGACCTGAGTGGATTGTCGTGTGAGTATCCCCCGGGGTCACGAATCTTTAACGATTTCACTGAATTTCCATTTTTCTAAACTGCCAATACAACCCTATCCGAATTTTATTAATTTTTTTTTGTTCGCTCAATATTCTAGATGATAAACCACTAGGTCTCGTCAGCAGAGTAAATTCCGCATATAGAGCATGCATTTTATATCTCATGGGTAAATGAATCATCAAGTTTTGATATACAATGGCTGGTAACCACTTCTCTAAGAATATCATTCATTCCAGCAACTCCGGGCATCGGTTTTCTTGTGAGAAATTGGTTCAATTACTACCTGAGATTTAACTACTGGCTTCTGGAACACTGGCGAATCATCGGGTGCATTCGCTTTGGCAAGAAGCAATCGGAAATCCATTTATATAGAAAATGAAAGTTAAAATAATTAATAATAGTTCATAATATTGTTCGTTACCTTTTTTATCCTCCAAGCTATTCTACCAATATTATGATTTTTATTTTATTGGTTAACTGCTGATTTATCATACATCGGATGTTTATATTAAATAAAATTGTCAATTTTCAATAAAATTTTCAAGACTATTCAATGCCGAATATCTCAGTAGAGAACAATGACATGGAAAACGAGCACCAATTCAAACAGATTGTCTTCCCGCTCTATACGACACGAATCAGAAAAACCGTGAAAAATTATTTACAACTCACGTACGAAGTACATAACCCTGACACAAACACCCTCATCGTTGAAGCCATTACTGTTATCAATGATAGTCCCGTAAGTGCACACACCTAGACTCCCTAACCATAATTAAAAAACGTCATCGTCATTTTCCCGAAAATTCACGAATCGCCCATGACTTCACTATATCCATTAGTGGACGTCCCTTTAACCTAACTCTCAGACTGAGTGCTGCAAAACGAAAAATCGAGTGAACTCAATGAAAAAAAATCCGTCACCCCAAAAAAGATAGCTCCAAACGACCAATTGAATGTCAATAAACAATCAGAAAAATCAGATTGAATAGAAGATTGAGACTAACCAAAATTACCTGGAATAAATGAACAATCAGTGAAAGAGTGTGATTTTCCCACAATGTCATTAACTTGTAAAACCTCAAGGTGGTGTTAACAACCGATAAAAAAAAATTATCACTCTGGTGATGCAAAATGTACAGTTTCGAGGGTGATTATCGTCGCAGACCCCAGCAGAATTTGGCTGGTGCTAGTCGGAGGGATGAGAAAGCAGCTCTGCTCCAGCATGCCCAACTGGAACGTAATAAACGTGAGCAACAACGTAAACGTCAGAATGCAGCCCTGAAGATTCACGCCCAAACCCGGAGTTACCTGGTGCGCCAATCGGCAAAGAGAAACTGCAGAATTGAATTCGACAGGGCCAGGGCCCAGGTTCAGAGTAAACTCCAGGTGAACGATCTAATACCGTACATAAGAACCCTTTTATTTTTCTACGATGCCAAGATTGATTATGAGAGGCTCATCTGGCTTCTGGAGCACATTCTATCGAACAAGGAGAAAATCCTCAACAGATACAGCAATACGGACTGGCTCTGGCGACTTCGGTGGATTCTCAAGTTGTGTTTACAGTTTATTGTCGAGATAACCAATATCAACAGACAAATATCGACAGCCCTGCCCTTGAGAGTTCTCGAGAGTTTCATAAATGACACACAAGCCACGAAGAATAATAATGATACCTGCAGAAATCACCTGAGGGATATTCTTAAGTATTTGGTACTGAATTCGTACTTCTGGAATGTCAAGAAGCTCCTTGAGGAGAGCATTCCACCATTGGACGAGTCCACGTCGACACCTCCAACTCCCAGAGTCAAATGTTACTTTGACCTGATAAAACAGCCTCTGGTCCTCTCCACAGACACCAAATACGACAACGATTTTGCAATGATTGTTATCAAGGAGTTTGTCAATACTATTCTCGTCCCCAGGATGTCGGATCCTGTGAGATTATTCCTGATACCATCATTGTCAGAGCTCTCGAGTTTTCCATATGCCGAGTTAATATGCTGCATCAATAGACTGGAGATTGTTCCTACCCGGAGTCTTCTGTACGCGGTGTTATCACTGGAGCCCACGAATTTTAATCCCTCGTCGTCTGACACTGTCCTGGTAAATTATATCCAGGTCCTCGCCTCCCTGACATCCACAACCCTGGGACCACTGCCCTCAGAGACTCCTGCCAATGATATTGTGGAGGACGATGACATGAGTATCTCTGACACTGAGGCGGTTATGGTGGATCAGAGTCAGGTGGAGATAATGCTCCAGTGTATAAAAATGTTAAATGAGGACGACAGAGTTCACAGGATTCTCACGTCTCTGGACAAGAGTGAGGATCAGGCTATGCTCCAGTCCCTCTGTCAACTCTGTCACAATCTCCTGAGAACTGACAAGCTCGCGTCTCACAAGTACAAACTCCTGTACATGCTGGCATTCAAACCAGAATTTGTGAGGAGACTCTGGAGTGCGCTGATTACCACGAAACAGACGTCAATATTCGGTGGTGGATCCACTCCACTCGTTCAGATAATGTCCAGGGGTATAGCACCAACAGCTGAGGACTCAAAAAACATAGCTTCCTTGATTGCTGTCTTCTGTTCACTCTTCAGTCTGCTAATAGCCACGCTCCACGACTCGGAATTTTTCACAGAGGCCAAGGAGACCTCCATGGAGGATGAGGAGCCTGAGAACGAGAGGACAGCAATGCCCTTCACAACCGGTGAGCTCGTGCCGCTCTCGGATTATTTGAAAGGCGTTTGTCTGGGACTCGTGGAGTTGGCCTTCCCCGACTGTCGACCCACTGTCAGGGATGACTACAAGAGGGCTGTTCTCGGTCCATCTACAAAACTTCTCCAGGACAAGCAGGACACACAAATGTGGGTACATCTGTTCAAGGCGACGTCTGGACTCCTCAGGCAACTCCACACGCGAGATCTCAGACGACAATTCTGCCCAGATGGACACTGGATCACCTCCAACATTCCTATTCCTCTGGATAAGCCTCAGGATATCACCTGGAGGAGGAGAACCAGTCGCACGAGTTACTCGCCATTTCAGGGCCTCAGGAGCCTTACCCAGGATCAGGAGGAGAGTGAGCATGGTCCTCCACTGTCTACCAAGGAGATTAGAATGTTGACGCTCCTCCGGGAGGTGCCCTTCATCGTTCCCTTTAATGATCGAGTTATGGTTCTCCAGTCATTGATCTACAGAGATAAAATGGAGCACCAGGGTGAGCTCACGCACTTCATGCAAGGCCCCTCCATACAAATATCCGTCAGGAGGAATTATCTGTACGAAGATGCCCTCGACAAACTCTCCTCTGAGAATGAACCTGAATTGAGGCTCAAGATGAGGGTACAGCTAGTGAATACTGCTGGGGTCGAGGAAGCTGGAGTCGATGGTGGAGGTCTCTTCAGGGAATTTCTCTCTGAATTGTTGAAAACCAGCTTCGATCCTAACAGGGGGTTCTTCAGGCTCACAAAGGACAACATGTTGTATCCTAATCCCACTGTTCATCTTCTCGTTGATGATTTCCCCAAGCACTATTACTTCATCGGGAGGATGATGGGAAAGGCTATCTATGAAAATTTACTCGTGGAGCTGCCTTTTGCTGAATTTTTCCTGTCGAAAATTGTGGGTCGACAGTCGGATGTTGATGTTCATCATTTGGCCTCGCTAGATCCTGTCATGTACAGAAATCTTTTGTACTTGAAGAGTTATAAGGGAGATGTTTCGGACTTGGGGCTTGACTTCACTGTACTCTCTGATGAACTCGGGGAGAGAAGAATCGATGAACTGAAGCCCAAGGGTTCACAAATACCTGTGACCAATGACAACAGGATCGAGTATATTCATCTCATGGCGGATTATAAGCTTAATAAAGAAATCAGGCCTCAGTGCTTTGCTTTCAAACAGGGAATTGCTAATGTTATACCCTTGGAGTGGCTGCAGATGTTTAATAATAAGGAGATGCAGGTACTCATCTCGGGGGCACAAATACCTGTCGATGTTGATGATTTGAAAATGCATACGAATTATACCGGGGGCTATGCGCCTGATCACCCGACCATTACTGCTTTCTGGAGGGTCGTCGAAGGATTCACTAACAAGCAGAAGGGACAGCTCCTCAAGTTTGTTACCAGCTGTAGTCGACCTCCTCTTCTGGGGTTTAAGGTAATTCGTTATTTGTCTATTCGAAACTTGATTCATTAATTAAACTGATTTTTTGGGGGACAGGAATTGGATCCACCGTTCTGCATACAACATGCAGGTACCATCGATCGACTCCCAACATCGAGTACCTGCATGAATCTTTTGAAACTGCCAGAATTCCTAGACGAATCCACACTGCGTGAAAAATTACTGTACGCCATCCAAGCTGGTGCTGGATTTGAACTCAGCTAATTGGGCCCATCGAACAAGAAGCAAAATGCTTTTTATTTTGTCTTCGTCTGCTGTTTTTGCTGTCGTTGTTCTGACAGGAATAATTAAAGACTGTGCCATTAAAATATCTACAATTCTCGGGGACTTTGTGGAGATGATATTGAATATATTCAATAGATCGAAATGGGACGAAATTGTTTAACGTAGGGAATCATGTATCTGAGAAGAATTTATTTAATTTCAATGGGGAGTGGGAGTGGGCGCCTCGTAGATGATATTTTTAGGTAATTGTAAATTATGTAGATCAACTAGTATGTTTAATTTCCAACGCTGGTACATCGATTTATTCATGAGAATAATTTAACGAGTATTCAGAGGAAATGAACGTGTGAGGGCTAGAGTTGTGTATAGAGGATAATTGAATTTTTGCGCTGCACTGTGTGGTGTATATGTGAAATCAAGTAATTCTTCTACGGTGTCATAGTGAAATAAATGTCAGATATTGATGTAATTGTTAGATCAGTCTCAGTGGACTGATTATTTTTGTTTTTTCTCCAATTACAAAACCTTGTGATATATGGATATATTATTATATAAACATATTTTTCGTCTTGATGAATCTTTCTTATTATTGTATATGTGAAATTTGAGACATTAAAATGTAACCGGGGCCATGGTGAAAAGGTAAATGTTGTGCTATATTTTCATGACCAATTAATTTTTTTTTTCAATATTTTACAGCCGCTGAAATAATAAAAAATTCTAAGATGAGATATACTCGAAGGAGAGTTGACAAACTTATTTGACAAACTTTTTGAAAAATTTATATTCAAAATTACTAATATTCGCGGGGTTGAGCTGCCTCTGGTCGATGGAAACGAACCTGAAGCTCATAAAAAAAAAATGTCGATTTTGCGCGAAACATAATGAATCACTGACACTTATTAACGGTTTTCCCGCGCGTCCCGTACGACTTATTCCGCGTAATGCGTTTTTCCTTCGATCTATTATATTTTAAAGCATTGATTTGCTTTAAATAGAACGCACGATATCAATTTCTGTATCGAATAAATTCGGGAGAGTGAAGGGTTGTAGTTTTGCGTGTATTGGATTGCCAGCGGCGTAGGTTATAAAGGCAGTCATAAGGTCAACAAACGCACACCCTCCTATTTTTCTGGTGAATAAGTGGATAGAAAATATTTACATGTGATTGTTCGGGGATAAACAATCGTTTGACTCGATTCAGATGATGACAACACCAACGCGGGAAACTCTCCATCGACGTCGGAGATCACTGAGACAAGCACTTGCTGTCATACCAGATATTACGAGTCTCAGTGTATCACCAGGTAATGGAATTTCCATGATTTTTTTCCTCCCTCACCTTTCATGTGTTACAAAACGCGAACATTCCATATTCTTGAGGATTAAATAAATTTTTCCAGGCTCTCCTCTTCCATCAGACGTCAACACTATCAATAACAGGTACAGCCGAGACTCATGGAGTCCAGCACCCAGTCCCGACGAGTTGGTGATCCAGAAACGCGGTCGGAGGAGCAAAAGCATCGTCTGGTCACCAGAAGTCGATGCAAAACGAGATAGTCTATTGAGTCTCTCCCTGAGGGATCGCACGCCCGTGAAAAGTCCCACAAAGGCATCGACGCACCTCAAAAGCACGCCGAGGAAACGGCTTCTCCTAGACGATAATAACGACACGACCCCGGACAAAACCAGGGTCAATGAGAGAGAGGGTGAGAAGCAGTTTACTGGGAGTTTGATGAATGGTTTGCGAGGTCTCAGTAATGAACAGCTGACCAAGGTCATCATGGATCTGGTGTCCATGCAGGAGGATGGGGCACTCAGCCTCGATGATAAACTCAGGGATATCGTCATCAAAAGAATGCCTGTCGCTGATGTCCAGCCCCTCAGAGAGAGGCTGACACTTCTCAGGCAGAATGTCTCTGAGAGTTTGATGTCTCTCGAGGGCAACTATGAGTTCCCTTACAACCGAGCGTCTGTTCATCTTGAAACGTATCAGAAAACTCTGATTGAACAAGGCATTAAATTAATAGAATCCCAGCACTGGACCGCAGCAATGCAGTACGTGTTCCTGGCGTGGCCCATCACAAAGGATTTGCCAAAGTGCCCATCCCCAGACGATACGACTCGCAAGTGTTTCCAGAGTTTAACACAAATCTGCAAGGACGCCCTGGTAAACGGAAATTTTGTCAATTCAACGTTGGAAGTATTCGCCAGTAGGATGGATACGATGGTCCATGACTGCAACGAGATGAAGATCTGTCAGCAAATGGCCAAGGAGATGATGAGGCCCTAGTTGAATCACCGTATTTAATTCGCATTAATCTCTATTTTTTTATTATAATCGACTCAGTGCCTTGAATAATCGATTCCAAAAGGAGAACTGCGCAGTTACCAGATTTTCAATAATTTCACAAGTTTTTTATTTTTTTATCCGTCAGATTCAACTACCAAATTTATGAAATAGCGAAAATTGTTCCACTTCTCCAGATCCGTATTTAATTCTCCTGTTTTGTTTAAATTAGTTGATCATTATTTTCATACCTTACTCGAGTATTATGTAATCATCATATTTTTCAAGTTAATAAATTTTTCCCTGGATACAGGAATTTTGTAAAAAATCTCGTACAGTTATTTATATTTTTACAATTAAAAAGATGGTCTTATTACAGAGGTGTTCCACTATTTTTTTCCCGGCTATAATTTCTGATTCAATTTGATTTTTATTTCTCTCGAATTTTTTCAATTCGATTTTTGAGCGGTAGCCATTATGTTTACCTTTATGTATAACGCAAGAATAATCGTGTAGGTCGGTGCAGCAGATGTCTTCCTCATTTTAAACAGTCAAGTAATTTGCTCCATCTGCTCGGGAATCCCGTACCATCCACAAATTACTCACTCCCCTGATACTTTTCTGAAAATTTCGAATTTTTCATTTTCAAAATAACATTCACCCCGTCGACTGGTCCCTTTGACAGCGTAACTGCTATTGAGGCATTTACCGAGTCGACTGACGGGGGTGGACACCCCAACATTGCATGTGGTGCCCCCTCTTCGTTGGGGTGAGGTACTACGAGGCAGGTGGAGTGACAGCCCCCACCACTGAGCGTCTACTTTAGTCAACCCTTTCTGCGCGGGACTTCCAGTTGCAGTCCGCCGGTCGAACCAACTGATTCGTGATTTGTGTTTATCCTTCGTTATTACGCTGTCAGTGAATTAATCCAAAAACGTTTAATTACCAATCACTTAATTACCCAAATAATTTTTTAATTCCCTCAGTCCAGGAAAAATAAAAATATGTGAATATCGGGCTCCAGTGAATTGTCGCTCCAGTGGTTGGACTCCAGGACTCAGTAGTGAAGGAGAAAAGCATCTCAATACGTGATTTAGGTTATATCGGAGTAAATACTGATTAATTCAATCGAATTTAGTGTCGCAGTGTCACCGAATGTCATCATTTTCCAACTGGAATCATGCGGGATATTGACAATAACGACTAGAAAGTGAGACAATCCACCAAATTATTTTTTTCATGTCCTGGGAAATTATTTATTTCGTAACATTATTTTAAAAAATGTTGTTATTTGATATATTCTGATTTTTTATTATTGAATAAATCCCATTGACATATTCGTAATAATAAATGATTCAGAATGTCATTTCAAAAGCATTAACTTAAAATAATTGTTTCAACATTAATTGCATGTTTGTCCATTCAAATCAGAGAGCCTTGTTTTACGCACTCTCAACTACTTTACAAGGTTAATCTCATTCATTTTTTCAAATCTAAAGTCAACATCACGTTGGGTTTTTTTTCGTTTTAATTCATTGTCTTTTTTCATTAATTTAAGTAATAATTCCCTGTTGCGTGCATCACGCAACGAGCCCTTGACACGGCTTTCTTTTTCATTTTGTCTAACTGGGTGTGACGACAGTGTATCATAACACGAATCAGAACAATTTATGTAGTGATAATTGCCGGACAATAATTAATAACGAAATCCCCGGAACATTCATATAATAAGATGTTGAAAAATGTAGAAGATTTGGTATCTTTAGGGAAAAAATTGTGCTATTGATCCCCATAAACAATAAAGTCACTCTGTCATCATTGCTGCAGTGATAAAAGCAATTTACCCCAGTTTTATTAACACTTTTTCACCTTGGAACGCACCTTGTGGTATGGTATAAACCGGAATTTCGGCCGATCGATCATGTGTACCCTACATTTCCTCCCAGTATGATACGCGATATTCCGGCCCAAGCAAAAAGGAATCAACCTCGCTTAATACAACAATTAATCACCGGGCAAACTCCCTGAGCAATCATAAATAAAAGCCAATAGATTTCACGACTGATAGAGGACGGTATCGACTGGTTGGTACCCGTAATTTCAGATTTGCAGATTAACATTTTCAATAGTGCATTAACGTCTTATGTGTCATGCGACAATCCAGCAGACACGTAAGCCATTCCTCTGTAATGAGTTATAGATTTCACGGAATCATTAGCACCTTTTTATACTGCCCATCATATATTCACATATTCATTCACTCCGGCGCCTAAAGAACATCTGTGACGCCGGGTCTCCCTTTTGCGTTGGAAAGGGACAGAAAAAATAACCAGTACATGTCGATCGGATGAGGCTTTTTGTAATTGAGCTGTAATTGAGCTGGGAGTGGTCGAAGACAGGCGTGAAGAATTATTAATGTTTAGGGGGTTCACCTCGACGTATTATTACACACATGATTTTATTTGTTTCGTGATTCTAGAGTGAAGATTGGGTCCTGGAAACAACCAACAGGTCAAGATGGCCCAGTACTGGCTGAATGTGGCATTCCTCAGAGTCGTTATACCAGTGACATTTACAGCATGTAAGTTTCCGAACTATTCCGTGAATAATTAATTACGTAAAAGTTACCCACATCATCACAAAGTTATAGAATAAAAAATATGGGAATGGATAAGACGGCGTGCGATAGGCAACGATGATATCACGTTTTCAAATAGACGTGTCCACTCATATAATGTTTATTCTGTCCATATATTTTCAATGATTTCTCACGATTCTGTTAATGATCCCCAGCCATTGCGAAACTAATGGCAATCTAATTCATTTGTTGGCTATGATTGTTGAATAGAATTATTACTCTAATTACTCCCGACTCGTCTCGCGATGTTGCCCATTCGCGATTTGTTATCGACGAGTGTCTTTGAAGTTCCGTTGATATTTCCACGGCTTATGTACACATACATTTGCTCGGTTATCGCGTACTCCTATTGGATGGGTGCCACAATGCAAAGCGTCAAGTGGAAATGGAAAACAAATTCATGGGATACAAACTGTTGAGCCATGTGGGGCTCCGCACCGCGAAAATTGCTCGAACGTCGAATCACCAGGGGCTCAGGTTGTCGGAAACTAGAATGCCGGTTCCAAAATTAGAAGCGCGAAGATAGTCGGTTTACAGATTTCTGGATAAAAATAAAAGTCCAGATCACAGGCAGTCAAAATTTTTTGATGTCAGAAAAGAAATATTTCTGCATTCAGCAACACATTTTTCCCGTGAAAGATATTTTTCTTACGGCTCAATTATTCTGGCAGCTGTAGTACATTTTTACATAGTTACTCTCGATATGGAAACATTCATTACACGCTTGCCAAATTTAACCGACCAGCTGTTGCTTCCCATAGAAATAATTAACGGGTACATAATAAATAGTCGCGGGGTGTTAATCACTCGCAGATGTCTCTCCGAATGTATCTTCTTACTAACTATTGGCTTTCATCGACTTCAAAAAAAAAAAGTAGAGACATCATTGTCTTTCAAATAAATTCGAGTGGAGAAAAATATTCATAAATCAAGAAAATGTTTTTTGTTCATGAATTAAAAAATATCAATCGTCTGAAAATGCTAATAAACCTGTAAAAGAATTCGACCTTTTCAAAATTAATCTGCTTTTCCATTCCATTCATGGGCCGTTGAGCCCATTGGAATTTCAGGCGACCTTTCATGGCAGCTCGGCAATTTTCTTCCTTCGAGCATCAAAATAAATTTAATTCTTATGGCATTAGTCCATTTCAATGGGAGAAATATCTCTCGGTGTATTTTATAACATGAAATCAATTTCAGGCGCGATATGGCGACCGGTGGGTTTATCGTTGATTTACCTGGTGTTGATGTTAATATCGCCCTTGATATCGGTCCCCACCCACGAGACGATGAAATCAACGACCGGTCGGTATTTGAAATGCTGCCTGATCTTATGTTCCCTGACCGCCCTGACCCAGCTGGGGTTTCACATTATTCTGCTGGCGGTTCCATCCATCCACGAGGAGTTCACGATGAACTGTTCATTTCTGGAACAGCTATTCAGGCACATTGGACTAGTGCGAATGGACGAGGCCACTGTCTGGGAAGTTTTCTTCTGGCTGATCCCAGAAATTGTTGCCCTACCAGTCACAATCGTCGTTTTCGTCTTGACTAAAAAATTCACTTGGAAAAGTCCAGATGCAGAGGGCTCAAATCGCCATCCGGAACCCGGCCCCACCGCAAAACAATCCCTTGATGCCAACAACAAGATCATCAATTTCCTGGGTGGCATAGGGAGTTACATCGTTCTCGCCTCTCTCTGTTGTGTGTCCTCCCTAAATCCCTCAGTGGAGGGTGGTTTCTATTTCGTGATATTCCTGGGGGCAGCGACGTGGTGGGCATGCTACAAGGAGCTCAAAAAAATTTTCGCGGGTGTCTGCAGGCTCTTGATGGCTGTAGTAGTCTTGCACATCGCCGTTCTCCTGACGTACCAAAACCAGTGGCCACAAGAGATTGTTCCCGTGAACAGCACCTGGTCCAGGTACTTTGCCCTGGAGCCGTACTACATGACCAACTGCTCTGATCCCAGGAACGTTGATTTTCCTGGGAAAGACTCTGAGTGGGCGAATTATGGTTACGCCCTCGGACTTTTCTGGCTGTACTATGTCCTTGCTCTACAGTCGCAGTATCTTTTCAACAAACCGGTAAGATCATTCACTAATAACCCCGGCAATCAATTACTACAGACCACCAATCAATGCTCGAACAAATGACGAAATAATTACGTAGAAAATTGGTAAAGTGTAAAGTTCTTTCGATGATTCACCGGCTAATTATTATTGTCAATTAACCGAAATAATTATGTTCTGGTGCTCTAACTAACAATTAAACAAAATATTTCCGTCTTCTGTCTCTCACTTCAATGCGGCTTTAATTAAAAACTGAGGCAGGCACAACTCCTCGAAAATACCGCGCGTTTGAGCGGAAAATTGAGGAATTTGGATACACCATTGTCACGTCATGTTTCAATCAGACGGAGAACACCGTCTGAAAGGTGGCAGTCAGCCCGCAGAAAGGCACGGGTAAGATTGAAACTGTTTGCCGATGGAAAACACAAACAGACACGGAAAACAGATGGATTACTGCTCGATATTGCTTGTGCTTTTTTTAATTATATACTTTTATACTTTACGTATGAACTAGTTCCCTGGAGCGCCTATTTGATATTAAAATAAACAAGACAAAATATTTAAAAATCGGAATAACCGGAAAATCGAGGGGGTGTCTTGTATAATTAAATGAGATAACATTAAAAAATCAATAGGGTAGTCGAGATAATCGTCCCATTGTGCATTTCATTGTTAGAAATTTCTCAAACCCCAATTATGAATTCCGCCTTTTTTCAATAATTAAAATTAAAAAAAAATTCAATAACTTCACGTTTTTCCTGGAAATTTTGGAAGAGAAATTTTCTAACGGTGTCTTAGATGTGCTCGACATTTTTTTTTTGGTTTGCTGTGTTTTAGAAGCCGCCAGTTGCACTTTCGACTCAACCTGACGAGAGGACACCCGTACGTATCCAATAGCAAGCTTAATTATGATTAATTTTATTTACCCATTCCATTGCATCCGTAATTAATAAATAACCCATGCTCTATCTCGATGCATGCTAACTCAGAGGGGTAATTTATATATCATCGGAGATTACACTAATCGGGTGAGGGATTTTATATTTGTGTGTGCGTGGTTTCGCTTTTTTGAGCACCGGACTGAAGCACTGGATTTGGTTAATCCACACAATCCACAGCTTTCTAATTAGGACGATATAAATGGGGCGAAATATGAGAGCAATGGAATTTTCATGGTTTTGTTCAATTGAACAGCTGATGCGGTTTGGTTCCGGAAGGACTGGTCTCCTTCAGGACTCGACTGGTAGTGTCATTGTCCAGGACGGACAGCACGATGACAGTATTCAGATGCAATCCATGAGTGACGGTAAATCCATACCTCCATCCCTAAACCATCAAAGTAATAGTTTTTTCATATTTTTTACGTTTATAAATTTTTTCGTTTGACGTTCGGAAATAGTTGCGGTCAATTCATCAATTTCTAGAGCAATTCAATTTTTTCGTGCGCTCTGCGCGTTTTCATATTATCTCCACCGTAAATACACATGAAATCCAGCCCTCTCAATTTTCCTAGGAGGTCAAGACGACGAACCAGGCCCCATAGAGCATATAATAATGGCGGTCTACTCGATCTTTCAACTAATCGCCAACTCCTCGTACCTCGCGACAAACATAATAATGATGACGTGGAGCATCATGTATCACAGTTGGACGACATTTGTCTTCCTGCTGTGGGCGTTGATTCTGTGGATGGTTCCGAATAAGCGCGCTTCCATGATGAAGTGTTCCCCCTTCATTGTTTTATACGGTAGCATCCTAGTGCTTATCGGCTATGTCTTCAGCATGAACCTCACCGAGGAAGAGCTCCCCACAGTGATCGACGGCTTCAGCCTTTCGGAATTGGGCTTCAGTAAGTCAGATCAGATGAACAGCTACCACTTGATCGTGAAGAGTGCCTTCATGATGATGTTCTGGATTACCCTGCGCCAGTACATGTCCGAGAAGCAACGAGAACAGCGCTCCTCGACCCTTCGAGACATGGTAGCTCCCCTACACGTGACGGTATCAGCTGCGACGTCCTCAATGCAGCACGACAGCACAGAGATAAAATCTCAATTCATGAAGGACGTTGGTCTTGTCCTGAAAAAGCTCTTCACTAAATTCTGGATCGTTGTTGTCGCCATAATGCTCTTCACCAGTGGTATAACAGGGGAACGAATGACGGTCTTCAGGATAATCTACATGTCACTCTTCTTGATTTTCGTCATCTCCTTTCAGATATCGTGGTCAGGTTGGAGAAAGATGATGTACGGTTTCTGGATAACAGTAATCGTGTACTCAGTTGTGATGTTGATCCTAGTGTACACATATCAATTCCACAATTTTCCCACATACTGGGAGCGTCTGTACATTGACAAAAAACTTCAGAACGACATTGGACTTGAGACCTATCAGACAAAAGATCTCTTCGTCCGTCTTCTAACACCGACGTTTTTCGTTATTATAACAGTCCTTCAAATGCACTACTTCCACGATGATTTCCTCGAGGCAACAAGCATGGACAAAATAAGCGTGGACACAGTATCGAAGAGAGGAAGTCTCGGACGATCGACGTCAATGGCTCCAGAAGTCTCGCCCCTGGAGGTTCTTCTGAGTGAGCACGAGGAGAGAACCACGATCTATACACTTAAACAACTGAAGCACATGTCTAAGCTCGAGAGAGCTGCTCTCTTCCGAAGGGCTCTCGAGCAATTGAAAAATGCTTACAACTACCTCTGGCTATTTCTTGAGATTCACATGCAGAAGATCATATACATTTCCCTGATGCTCCTCTGTCTAAATGACGTATGCGCTATAAACCTTTTTTTCGTGATAGCAGTCGTTGTCGTAATGAACTTCACAAGATCGATGCAAATAATGGCGATCAATGGAATGGCTATGGCTGTTGCTTTACTCATGGTAGCCAAAATGTTATACCAGATAGAGTACATAAACCATTATAACTGGGACGTTAACTGTACCAGTGAGATTCCAGATAAGGAAAACAACACGTCGAATCACACGTACAACAGTGCAGAGTGGATTGGGCTGCGAAAGGCAGCGCCTGGAATGCTGCCAGACCTGTTGAAAGGCTACATTGGCATCGTCACAGTGACAACATTCAGGGCCATTATTATGGTACGCCAGTGTTTTTACAGGCATGGAAAAGGACAGTCTCTGGATACTCCCCAGGTTATGTTCCCGAGTATAACTCGTGCAGAGGCTGACAGGGGCATTGGCGAGTGCCTCAAGTTCCTCTTCAATTATGGTTTCTACAAGTTTGGGCTTGAACTGTGCTTTATGGTACTGGTTGCATTGATTGGCACTCGCCTGGATTTTTTCTCAGTGCTGTATGGGGTCTGGCTTTTGATTATGTTCGCCCAGAAACGCAGAACCATTGCCAGAATCTGGCCCTTCTTCAAGGGATTCGTCATGATTCTTCTTCCACTGCAGTATTTCTTCGCTGTAGCACCTCCCCCGTGGCTCTGCATCGATTACCCCTGGAGAGAGAGCCAGATACTTGTGAGACTCCAGGAGTGGATGTATCTCCCTGATCCTGACTTTCCACCCAATGCCAAGAAACTCATTTGTGATTTTTTCCTGCTGCTGATGGTTGTCAGGCAGAGTCTGGTGTTCAGAATTGAAGCGAGGAGTACAGCTGAGGGGCAGGATTTCGTCGCTGGGCACAATTATTCGGTCTTTCAAGATATGGAGAAACCGAATTTCGTGAATCCTGTTAAGGATTATGTCTCACATATTCATTGCTGGCTGGATGTTGTGAAGAGGGGAGTTATGATGAGCTTCCTATGGATTACTTTGTCAATTATGTTTCTCGCTGGGACCAAGAGAACTAATTTGTTTTCATTGGGATATTTGATTGGGGCGTTTGTGTTTTTGTGGCAGGGGAGTGATTTTTATTTGAGACCTGTGAAGACCATTCTCAAGTGGTGGAATTTGCTCCTGGGATATAATGTCGTTGTCATCTTCTCGAAGACGATTCTTCAGGGCGTAGGCTGTGTCCTTATTCAGCAGATGGAAGAGTCGGCGTGCTGGCTCATTCAACTACTTGGAATTGCCTGTCTCCAGAAATTTGACGGCTCGAATCTGCCACTCAGTGCTACATGCGATGTCCCCAGGGAGGACATTGGAATGTTCTGGGATGGACTGTGCTTTACTTTTCTGATTATTCAGAAGAGGCTGTTTAAGAGTTATTACTTTTTTCATATCGTCGATGAGACCAAGGCCATGAGCATTTTGGCCTCGAGAGGGGCTGAACTCCTCGAGGACCTTCACAAGAAAAGAATCGAGTACCAAGAGAATGTTGAGAAGGCTGTGCTGCAGAAGCTCAAGTTCAAAATGGATAAGATCAAGGCAGATCAGCAAAGAATCCAGGGACCCAGTTATAGAGAGCCCGCTGATCATAAAATTGGTGAGTACAAGCTCGAAAAATTTTTATTATTTAATTCTATCAGAACCATTTTATCGAATAGGAATTTTTTGCCAATTCTTACGCGGAAAAACGTCATTACAGCTGTCCAAAAAATCAAGCCTTCATTTAATTATTATAAATATTCGTACGAATTCGGGAGATTTTATTAATATTTCAAGATTGTTTGATTCTCCTCACTTGAATTTCCGATCTGTTCCGAATAATTAAATTTTTTCTCCTCCGCGGATATTAAAAATCGAGAAATAGTTAAATAAAATGGTGTTCCCCACGCAAACAAAAATAAAAAGGAGTGGCACCACTGGCCCGTACATCGAGTATGAGCACCTGCGTGTCCTCGGGACACACTCCACCCCAGGGTTACAGAACTCCCCTGGACGAGGATGATACCGACGAAGATGAGAGACGAGACGAAGTGGATGACGATCCGCCACCCCTAACCCCTCGTGCTGCTTCCCTCCTTCAGGCCCCATCCCCCAATTCGGCGATCCTTACGGGGAGTCTTGAGGGCTACCTGGAGCCTACCCGGATATCCTTTGGCTCTCCTCCCACCAGCGAGCTCAATCCCCGTGGTCCATCCCCTGATGAAACATTCCCCGTTTTCTCTCCACCACCCTACGATCCTCTCCCCTCGAGCGAGCCCTCTGGAGCTCTTCACAGGAGGCAGTCGAGCTTCGCAGGGACCACCTGGATATCTGATAACCCAACGCCGAGGCAATCCATCGTCTCCTTCAACTCCCGATCACAACGATCTCATCACACATGTAAAACCGTTCGAAGAAACATCATGCCTTCATCATCGTGTCGTGTACATACGCTTTCATCACGCGACGTGATATTTATTTAGAAGTTGGGGTAGGAATTTTAATTGTTGATCGAAAAATTGAAAATTTCAATTCCTCAAAATTATCTGGAATATGATATTGATAATTATTGTTTTGTCATTGAAATTTTCAATTTTTGCCACAGAAAATTAATTTCACACCCCAATTGGCACAATTATGTCTCTCATATCGATTTATTTAGGAGTGAAATCGCATGACCCTCCGCTATCAACTCATCATTTATTATTTTATTTATCAATGTGTGTTCTGTTAGATTCGCTCTATCCCAGAGACCGGCCGTTGTACAAACATCACACGCCAAAGACCAACAGAGAGGGTAATTCAATTGTAAAAAATTTCTCGAGAAATCCCATGCTGTCTTCTGCCTAATCAAACTCTTTTTCAGCCCCCGCAATGATACATAACATTCCACATAATCCATACATAACAATCCCACTCCTTTGTAAATTGTTCCGACAGATGTACATAAAAACCAATTGATTGTCGTCTAGATCCGTCGATTTGTCCAGTGGTTTTTATTGCATGGCTTTGTACCCCTAAACTCGATGAGTCCCTTTGACGGAACATAATGTCCCATTTATTCCAACAGCTGTCAGATCCGGAGACTATTACATGTTCGATGATTTCGAGGACGAGGAGGATGTAACCGACCTCTTGCCATCTCCTGAGGATCAAGTCGAGGAAGAGGAACGACGAGAACGTCAGAGGCAACGGGGAAGACGGATGACTGTCTCAGAGGTCAGATTAAAATTTAATAAACTCTTTAATTTTTTCATTCTCTACACCTGGTGGAGTGCGATAGGCACTCCTCATTCTCTTTAAGGTTAATAACAATTCGATTTGTAATAAAATTTTATAATTTCCCCATGGGACGTACACTCCTTCCCCTTTAAAATGAGTCAAGCTCGAAATGAGCTCCATTGATTAATTAGTTTCCGAGGTAATATTATGAATATTACCATTGAGAAATGGAAAGCCATCGTTTTACCCCACAGTCTCATTACGGAAAATTCAGTAATAAAATATTGGACGGAAAAATGATAAGGATTGATAGCAATAAATATCGATACGAGTCGAAGGGAAAAATAATAAGCTACTCGTTGCATCGTGAAAGTGTTACGCAATTAACCGTGTGAACCTAGCGACTACAATTAACTCGAGGGAATTTTTCCTGCACTCTTAATTAAACCTTTCGAGTGATATCCTTTCCAGCTGATGACAACCCTTATCAAGACAGACATTGAGATTGCGACCCACGTTGCAATGTATGGAGGAACCCAGAAGGACGCATTGAGATTGCGACGTCAGAGTGTACCCCTCACTCGCAAGAAATCATCAATGTCATATCTCAGCGCACATTCCGAAACTGAGACAGCCGCGGCATCCGATGTGAGACCCCACATTCCATCAGAGAAATCATGAAAATCATTTTGAATGTTAATGCGATTTTTTGCATGAAAAATCTATAGACCTTCAATTATCATTTGCATAAAAATTTTTTAATTCTACTCAAATATTTCTATTATTTCTCATCTGATTGAAAAAAAAATTCTTTTCTTAACATTAATCTCTCATTAACAGTCATTAACGTGTTGATACTGCATGGATTATTTAACTCGAATAATATGGAAGCTATAGATTTTTTGGCAACAAAATTCCATGTATCATACTGATTTCTATTAATTTCGTCATCATTTAATTTTTTTTTGTTACCACTATTATTTCTGTCGTTGAGTGGTAAAACGTGTTTTTATTTATTCAATGTTTCACTGCTTTACCACTCGTTCATTTTTTTAAATTATTTATTTGTTTGTCGCCTTGTAGAACGCCTCTTCCAGTTTTTGTTTTATCCATCAATAATTTATGCTCTTTACGTTATTTAGCATCTCGTTGCATTTTTAATTGTCATCCTTTCAGGATAATCTTCATAATTTCGTTTATTATTTTTATGCAAGGTGGAGGATTTAATGGGCTTGCATCGTAGACTATTTATTTTGATCGTTCTAGCTTCGGCAGTCAGCTCTACAGTTAACACACAATTCTTCAACTGCTAAGAGCTGTTCGATACTCGAGATAATTCTGAGTCGTCAGTCGTTGAGATGATTTTTTATTGCAATAGGATGGTGACAGAACGAGTTTGGTGTCATCGGAGGCTGAGAGGGAACTGAAGACTGATGATCCAGATAAATCTCCGAGTCATTCTGCCTCTGATGAACGTTTAGAGGGTGATGATAATGAGAAAGAGAAAAGGGGAGCTTCGCTGCTAACTTATTTCAAATTCGTCGTCGAGTTTATCAACAGCTCGATGGTCTCTGCTACGAGATATTTGAACAGATTTTCCAGGGACTATAGATATATTCGGAAAGTTCTTGCGAAGGAGAAGAAAATTTTGAAGGTCATTCATTATTAGAATTGCACTTTTCCATTTGCACTTGAAGAGCTGTAATTCAATTGTCAATCGTTGTCCTTTTTTCAGGCTAAACCAGATTTCCGGATGGGAATGAGATTAGGAATTAATCAAATTTGGCAGCCAATACCATTAATGAAACAGAGGTGAGAATTTATTTTAACCAAACAGGAAAGTTAAAAAAATATATAAAGAACTAGAAAAAAAAATTAAAAATAGCTCAATAAGCGAATGGATATTTATATAGGTAGATCTTAGTAGGAATGTTAATAATTAGACTAGATATTTCAAACGAGAGCAAAGGAATTTCCTGAAGCCAAGGATTAATTTTAATTTTTAATTGCTCCCCTCGTCAATCAGTTTGTACTCGTTAGAGCAGTAGTAAATATATTCACCCTGATAGCTCAGAGACGGAGGGAAGTACTGACGACACAACGGACGGTGATGAGGGTTCGTGTCAATCAAAAACTGAGGATCAAAGGTAGGGAGTATAGATCTGAACAAATTGAGCATTTTTTTTTTTATAATCCAGTAGATAGTTTGGTAGCTTGGTCTCCTGATATTAATTCATCCTGTGTGGCAACAATAATATGTACTACATTATGTACTGAATCATCCTCGTGCACTTGCCTATCGAATCTAGAAAGTTGTTTAGTTCAGTGGCTAAAAGGTGAAGGGTGAAAAAATTGACGTCTTTCCTTCAAGAATATTCGAAAAATATTTCTAATCTAAATTAGAAAAAGCTGGCTTTATTTCATTATCAGGAAGGAGAACTTGCTGACACTGCCCCACATCCGAATTCTGGCCCCAAGTTTGGAGCGAGGATTGGACGGGTCCTCCTCCAGGTACCGGTTATTATGAAAAACTGGCTGTTTCAAATTTTTTTCTTTCCCTCATGTATAAGGAAAAAAATCCTCCACAGTTGGCTTGCCTGTACGCTTCGCACTGTATTAGTTTCTCTCATCGCACTGTACATTTGCTGATTTATTATTTTTAATCCCTTATCTTTCCCCACTACGTAAGGAAAAATTAACTAGTTCTTAATTTAAAATCCAACAAGTCATGATAAAAATATTTTTTCCAATGAAAAAAATTCGTACTATTCATAAATAAAAACCCAATGAATGCCCTGAGAAATTCAAAAACATCGTCAATGTATTCGCGTGAAAAATCGTTGTGCAGGACTAATTCTTGAATTTTCTGCAGCTCGATTCTGACGCGAACCCAGCAAACACCTCAACCCGAAGATGACCAACCAGAGCTCTCAGAGGTGGATCAGCCCCCAGTCATCCAGCTTCTAGCCTCCATTTGGTTTGGTATCCTCGCTCACTCGACCTTCATGTGCTACTTCATGATCTTCCTCCACCAAATAAAGAACGCCTCAGTACTTTCGATTCCACTTCCCCTAATGGTGTTCTTCTGGGGCTCCCTCACAATTCCTCGCCCCTCGAAAACTTTTTGGGTGACAATAATCGCATACACAGAAGCAATTGTTATTGTGAAATGTATCTTCCAGCTAGACTTGATGTCATGGAATCGCACAGCGCCCCCAAACAATCCCCTGTATTCCCCAAGAATCATCGGAGTTGAGAAAAAGCCAAACTACGCCCTGTGGGATCTCCTATTGCTGTTAATGGTCTTCTTCCACCGATTCATGTTGAAGTCGTTAGGCCAGTGGACGACTCCCTACGTTGCCAGAAAAATAATCCCCTCGAAGCTAACTCTAGCCACGATGAAGAGTTCTACAGATACGACAAATCAGGAGTCAACCAGATTTCACTGGCAGAATGAGCAGGAGAATCAACCAGAGGGTACTCGACAGTCTTTCCGACTTCCCCACGTTTCTGAAGATGCTCCCTCACAAGATCAACTAGACCGACAGAATCAACAGAACCAACAATCTACCTCAACCCCGGAAAATCCTCCAGATCCCTCATCCGAAGCTCTAATAGCAGTGAAAGGAGAAGAAGCTCCAGTTTGCACAGAGAAATTCTCCACAGCAGTGACAGAAACAGCTCAAAAGTACCTCTCTCCAGCTCAAAACTTTTTTGCCAACATCCTGAGTTCAGATGGCAAAGAAAAAACTAATGTGTGCGCCTATATGTTCCTGTGTGACTTTTTCAATTTTCTTCTCATAATCTTCGGCTTCTCTTCGTTTGGCACTCAACAAGGAGACGGTGGTGTTGCTGCTTACGTTCAGGAGAACCGAGTCCCCATGTCTTTCCTCCTCATGCTGCTTCTTCAGTTCGCTCTGATCGTCATCGACAGGGCCCTCTTCCTGCGTAAATCAATTCTGGGGAAACTCGTGTTTCAGTACTTCCTGATTTTCGGTGTTCATGTGTGGATGTTTTTTATTCTTCCCAGCATAACCGAGAGACAATTCAACGATCGTCTGCCCCCACAGATCTGGTACATGGTGAAGTGTTTTTATCTGCTGCTGGCAGCCTATCAACTGCGCCTGGGATACCCCACCAGAATTTTAGGGAATTTTCTTTGCAAGAAATATAGTATAATAAATTATGCCCTCTTCAAAGTCTTCATGTTTGTGCCTTTCTTATTCGAGTTGCGAGCTGTGATGGACTGGATCTGGACAGACACCTCCATGACTATCATGGATTGGTTTAAGATGGAGGATATATTTGCATCGATCTACCAGATAAAATGCATGAGAGGTATGGAAACAGATTTTCCTCAGCCTCGAGGAGTCAAGAAACAGCAGATGAGTAAATACATGGTTGGAGGAGGTGCCCTATTCTTCATAATTGGTTTAATTTGGTTTCCCCTGTTGCTGTTCGCCTTGGGAGGCACCGTCGGGGTTTCTAATCTGCCATATGAGGCCTCTCTCAGCATCAGGATAGGCTCATATGAGCCCATCTACACCATGTCAGCCCAGGACACGTCAATCTTCTCATATTCCGAAGCTGACTTCAAAGCCCTGAAGAACATATACAGCAAGAGCAGATCTGCGGTGACATTCCTGGAGAATTACGAAGCCACGGATGTAGCTGCTGTGAGATTAAGCAGATCCTCCAAGAAGCTGTGGAGCATCTCACCACCGGACAAGGAGAGGCTCAAGCTTGAGCTCGAGTCCAATGCCACCCTGACGTTTCACATCGAGTGGACAGTCTCGAGGAAAACTGATGTTAAGGATTCGACTGGTGTGACGTCGACACCGAGAAATATTCTGATACCAGCTTGGATTAATGGAGAATTTAATCCCCTTAGGAAGAACCTGGCTGAGCTACTGGGCCCTGAACCCCCACCCAATGGGGCTAATGTCTCCATTCCTGTGAGAAACGTCTTCCCAAAGTTTCTGAAGGTCACCAATAGAATCACTGCTGAAGTGCCACAGCTCATGAGGATTCCCATGTTTCCAGGATTCGATGACGGTGAAATGAACAATGGGAAGGATTATCTGTACAGAAATGCCACTCTACATCTGTCCAGTGCCAATGGAACTACCAGTGGACAGTGGTGGGTCGTCGACGAGAATTGCGATGATGTTATCTACATGAATTTGTTGAAGCAGATACCATTGAATGATTGTAATTATACATTCATGTTTTTGTTTAATGACAAGGCCTTTCCAGAGGGCCTCAGTTTCATCAGTGGATTTGGCATTCTGGGACTGTACACCACTGCTGTTATTTTAGTCAGTCAGATAATGAGAAGAGCTGTCAGCGAAATGGCACCCAAGATTATGTTCGATGATATGCCTTATGTGGACAGAATTCTCAGGCTATGTCTAGATATCTATCTCGTGAGGGAGAGCGGGGAACTCAGTCTCGAGGAAGACCTCTTTGCCAAATTGATATTCCTTTATAGAAGTCCTGAGACTCTTATCAGATGGACCAGACCTCCCGAATCCGCCACAGGCCCCAGGGAGGAGGGTGAGGAGGAAGATGACGAGAGGGAGGAGCGAGACAGGCTCAGGGATCCTTAGGATTCATTCTTTCAGGATTTCGCGTTTTTTTAGATGTGAAAATAAGGTTTTTTTATGAGAGCAGATCTCTAGTCAGAGGCTGCGATTGATTGCGTGGCCAAATAAGCAAAAAACGATATTAAACTGTCGTGTTAAACTGTCCATGAAAATTCGCGAGAATTTTAATCACAATTATAAAGTTAAGTTTTGTCTCTCGTTAATAATTGTCCATCATTGTGCCTCAACCTAGTCTGTAAGTGATATTTTCATTATAATCAATTTATTCGCCTCTTATTGATTCAAATCGAAATATTTCAATCACCCAAAGTGATTATTCCGCAAGTTTTAATATCTCCATATCTTTGTGTTCATTTCTTTTTTTTTATGTTTCCACCGACACCGGTAAAACATAACGAGCCCCAATGAGTTGATTTTCCAGAATCACGAATTCATTCATAATTGTAAATACAAAAAAATGCCTCAATGTGACTTTTGAATAAATGCAAAACTTTAATAAACGATAAAAATACAAAAAAGTACAAAACTCCTAACCACTTACTTCTGCTCAAGTTCTCGAATTTTTCCCCTGAGGATGAAGTTCTCCTGCTTTAACTTGTCAAATTCCTCGGCTTCCTTTTGGAGTTCGTCGACGCGACTCCTGAGGAAAGCAACACTTTCCAGCAACTGATGATTCTCCTTAACAAGTGCTTGGAACCTGGGCGAGCCCTCACTGAGATTGAGGTCTTTGAGATCGTCAGTGACGAGCATCAGCTGTTTAATCATGTTGGATTGAGAGTTAACGTAGAGGTCTTGCATCATCCTCATCACCTTCTGGCCTTCGAGCTTTGTGTAAGTGCTGACGATCTCCTTGATTGCATTGAGCATCGTCAGAGAGGCATTATCACCAGGCTCTGGCCTTTTGACGTTGCTATCAGCGCCCCTGTGCCGTTCCCTTAGGATTTCCGCCTGGACACTGTCCCCAGAGGAGTCTGAAGGTCGACTGTTTTCCTTGGATGAGCCGTCGGACAACCTGCTACTCTCCCTGGAGCCACTCACACGTTTCCCCCTGGACTTGAACCCCTGGATCGTTTTCAGGTCCTCCAGTTTATCGAGATTCTCCATGGGTTTTATCTTCTCCACAATTTTCACCTTCTTTTCAGTATGCTTTGTCCTCGATGATGAGGTCTTCATATCTTTTGTGAGTGGCTTGGGCTTTGGTTCGCTATGGCGTTTTCCTGGTGACTGCTGGGGCTCTGGGTGATCCGCGGAGGCCACTGCCTTTTTTCCAACCCCTGGAGATCCTAATTTTTTACCCTGTTTTCTCATTACTTCTCGCTCAAAGTCGATACTGAAATCCACCTTTGGTGATTCCGAATGGCGAGTTGTTATGTATCGTTCTGCATCACGAACCGCAGATCCTGCCTTCTGTTCCACTAGTCCTAGATCTTCGAGGAATGAGTCATTCATCGTCTCGGGTCTGACGTAAGTGCAACGAAAACAATCGGAGTTAAAAAATATAACACCTATCAGCGACGAAATGACGTAGAGTTATTGGCCAATTGGAATGCAATTATGCTCATTATACTGATGGTGCATGAGTGATAGTAGTGTGCTCATTAAATAAAAGGAGGAGAATTATTTATTGTTGTGGGATGGTCAAGGACTAACCGTTAAGTGGGTAGACCCTTAAAGAGATGTTTAACCTCTAAATTAGTTGTTTAGTAGTAAAATTAATTTATTTTAAGACACTGAAGGACTTTAGGCAAATTTTAGGTTTTTTTTTTTTGGTAAATTCATTCAGTCACTGTTGCAAGGATTCGAAAAAATTAATGGCGACATTTATAGTTTCGTTTACCTGATGTGGCAACGGGATTGATTTTCAGAAAATATTTAAAACCGTGTTGGAATGATTTTTATGTTAAATTGTTGAAAAACTACGAATATCGCGACACGCGTTGCATTGCAGTCAAGAAAATGTGAGTTCGGCGTTGTAACTGTCAAATTCAAATAGGGAAGAACCACAGCACACCTGGCGGTGATTTTATTTTATGCGGGAATATTTAAATGTGGAGAAAAAATTCGTGCTCACTTTTATCCAAAGAGGGAGGGTGCAACACGCAATGCTGGGGTGTCCATCAAGTCGACGGGGTGAATTTTATTTTCTGCTGTACGAATGCTTTTTGTTTTTCATTTGTTTAACTGAAATT